AGGCGTTAATTTAACTAAAAAATACTTTACACTCTCTAAATAACATTTATCTGACTACACACACTACACAAAGATTTACAAGAAGTCCGTTAATAAACTTAGTTTCTAGATTCAACAACTATTCGATCGAAAAAATATTATATGTTGGAAAATTAAATTTGAGATAATCTTTTTCAATTGTTGACAGCCTAAAAGTTATTATAATTACACAGATTTCAAGGGAATGCTAGTTCATGATACACACACATACACATTAATTGTAACAATTTATTGTATCGCAGACCACATTCTACGCAGTCTTACCAGACGAGACCATTTCTCAAGAATGAATGGAGGCACAGAATAAATTAACAAGTACTTTGGAATGGCACTTTGTGGAAACACAATGCGGTTTACATCCGAACAATAAGTTTCTCTGTCAATCTGATTACATAAGTCAATGTTCAGCCGAGGGTATGCATATGTATCGCTCTGTTGTACTTGAATTTCCCGTCGGATATCAAACCGATATTACCTAAAAGCGATGAGTGCTAAAATTATTTTTATAGCACTCTTAAAGAAGAGATATTTTTCAGTAGATCAAGGCAGTGTTTTTCATAGTTACCTATTTGTATTGCATCTACTTTGGCAAACTTCTTTAACGTATATTGTAAGGTTTCATCTGATTGAAATTTGTTTTCTAAAGTCTAATATATATTTTTTTCTATGTGGTTAATTTATGAAGTTTGCTTGAAATATAGTGTCATCATTGCAATTATAGATTATGCAGCTAATAACGCGACACGAAAGCTTTGAAAAAGCTTCTTACACATCTTATCTAGCGTTTTTCTTTGAACGCGGCTTTTTATAGAGCTACTAAGTAAGTACTTTCTGTGTCTCGGGGGAATACAATATATTAGTAGAATATACTTTGTTTCATGACTATTTATGTGTGCGGACATTTTTATTGCTCAACTCTGGCGTATCTTTGTACACTGTTCAGTAATATATCACTGTAATATGAGAAAAGGATTTTCGGAAATAACCTATTATAGATATGATTAGGCAGTCTTTATATTGACGTGGAAAACATTGTTGTGGTGGTAGTTAGTGGGTGAAAAGGAGCTTCCATTTGACCACATTTAAAAATATAAAATAAATATATTTTTATTTTTTACAAATAATAATGAAAATTTTGATCATAATAAATACTAGTGATATAGCATTATTATTTATTGTAAAATGAAGAACTACGCGGCGTCTATTATTGTAGTTTACCCTATACTATACTGATTCCTTAATAAGGCTTAGGTGTGTAAATACTATATTTTAACACACATTATCGTTACATACAAATAGTCGCAAGAGGCTTTGGTAAAATACACGAATCAACGCGGGCGGAAGCTGTTTTATTGTTTTTATTATACCTACATAGCTAATTAATTTAAATAATATATATTGTTATAAACTCGATATCTTCGAATTCCGTAAAAGAGGATTGTCGTCCTGTATCTTATCACTGACGATTTAATAATTTCTTTATAATCACACTACCTAAACTCAAAATATAAAGTATTTATTATATTAGATTTAAGACATCTTATTATTCTTACTGAATGAACAAGTTTAAAGTAAACGATTGAATTTTATTTGTTCTAAACTATTATTTGGACATTTCGATATAAAAAAGTTGAACAATAAGTTACTTTTTTAGGTACGTTTATTCTGTCAAAGTTTGAAGGCGAAATAGTAAAATTTTGGTTTCGACGCGAGGTTATGGCGCGAATTATCATACAAATTGAATGAACGAAATCTGATTACCGCTAAGGTCACGACGAAAAATAAACGGGCTGATTTTTTTACCGTAGGAATAAGCGATGCATCTCGTTGTTGAAATGAGCGTTTTTAAGGCAGTATTTGCCGCGCGCCACCATTACGTGGTATCAGCTGCCCACTGAAGTATTTCCGAACCAATTCAACTTAGGATCCTTTATTACTTAACATCAGGTCATGCCCATTCTATAAAAAATAAGCTCGGAATAAGAGCTCATGGTAGGCTCTCAGTCAATAATAAAGGTTATATATTTACAAATCAAAAGATAATTAATTGCTTTTAATTATAAAATTGAAATGTTAACATTGTGAATTGTTTAGGCATTCCGGAAAATCGATTTCGAATTTTGAAATGTATACACATACACATACATACATAGCTGATGACTTAATAGGCCTTTGTTTAAGTCGTGGTTAACCGCTGTTAGTTATGTGCATTTTAAATATTAACTTCTTCAGTTTAATGAGGTGCGGAATAATAAGAAATTTTTGTAAAGATAACATTTAATAATGCCAATTGTTTTCTTTTATTGGTCTTAATATCATATGTAGGCGAATTAAATATCGTGTTTGTTATTGTGGTAACCATAAGAGATTAGAGAATAGAGGTTTTCAGAGAATCGTAGCTACCATGAGACTTGAGTCTTCTTGTGAATTATGACACCCGTATTCCAACACGTTCCTAGACACTGAGAGTAATAATAAGTATTGAGAATTTTTACGTTTTAGAATAGGGTCTAAACTTTTTGAAAGTTTAGTAGCATTAGATTCATGAAATCTCGCCTATTAGTTGTCGTTGCCAGATCAAACAGGCCATTTGGCTGCTGGCCAAATTTAACAACGTAATTTGCAAATCTGTTACATATGACGACGGGAATTTATATTTTAAATTGCTGGTTGTTGTAGCCACATTCGCTGGCGTTGTTTCCACTGATTTAGGTTCGGAGTTTGCTGCTTATTGGAGTGGGACCAGACCAGGCAGGAAATACATTATTGTACTATATTTGGAAAGTATTTGTAGGTTAGGTAAAACATTAAAATAAATCTTTCAATTTGAACAAAAAACTGTGTTAACACTAGATTTTTATTATTTGAATCTAGTAATAATAAATATGTACGAAGCTATTCCGTATAGTGTTGAGTGTGCGTCTTACATGTGAATTGAATGTACATATTTTTTTTATATTAATTTTTTTATAATATTTGATTTTTTGACCCTGTTTAGTTTTTTTCTTAATAACTATATGTAATATGTATTTTTGCACTTCTTTTCTCACAGTAGTGGTTGCCTGGAAGAGATCGCTCGATAGGGCCGGCCTGCCCTCCTTTTCATTTTATTATGTACCATTTTTATATTGTAATGCAACGAAGTGTTAATAAATAAAAATAAATAAATAAATCATAAATATATATATAATAAATTAATCGAACGATTAGCTTTAAAGATTAATAGAACTCAATAGATTAGATATGCGATTGAAGATACTTTATCAAGTAAATCTTCAGGTTCAAGACGATTTTTCTCCATTTCATTATCTTAACTTGTGGTTGTCACCGTACTAAGGGTTAATTAAAGCAGAGCGTTCCTAAATGACTCCTCCGGGGCACACTTTAATGATTACGTCTTACTTCTGAGCGAAAACTTAGGGGCAAAGCTTTTTATCCCTTTGGAAAGTTAGAAATATGAGAAAATCTAGGTGACACTTTTCCAAGGAATATCTTTTAGGTAACTATTTAATTTTCGTTTAATAATTAAATAAAAGGATTGTGTGGTTTTATGAAACCACGGTAAAAGTGAAACTTTTTTTCACATTATAGACATTTAACTAAAATTTTTTGGAATAATATTCCATTAAGGGTATAAAAATCGCTTTATCAATCTTAATTTTATACTTGGAAAATTGTAATGATAATGGGAAATTATAAAAGTCTCCAACTAATATTATTATTGAACTCTGTATCTTAGAGAGTACGACATACATAATACTTAACAATTATTTAGATCTGGCAGCTACCTCGGACAATGAATTAGTCTAGCTATTCAAAGGGGGAACGCTGCCAGTATCTTCGGAACCTTGCCTAAAGGGACTCCTTTTAATAATATATTTTAGTTTATGTTAAGGTTAGTTTTTTTTTTCTTTCAATGTATATTATTTTTGTTATTATACTTTAAAGTTTATCTAAATAATTATTTAGATTATATACACATATTAAATAATAGTCTATGACACTACACGATCAGCTGCTGCGAATTATAGGCGCCGCCATATTGGCCTTGGCTGCTATGACGAGCGCCTTTAACTTTATCCCTACTCCGCGGCAGACCGTCACGCGACATGCAACACACAGACGAAAAAGTTTGAGATGATGTAATAAAAGTTTCACTTTAAAAACAAAATAAGCAAATAATATTTAGTAGACATAATTATTGTAGGGGTCAGATTGTAATTCGTAGACCAGTGGTGGTGGCTAGGCGGTAAAAAAACACCGTGAGAAAACTGCCTATCTTAGACCATTGGCGTGTGCCCGGGAAAGTAGGCTGAAAGATGATTACAGGATCAGGGATCTGAGGCCTATGAACTGTAGTGCATATCTTCCTAGAAGACGCTTTTAGTGTATAGTTAGAAGGCTTAATAGTAAAAGTAAAGTAAAAAAATCATTTAGGTAACATAATGAACACTTATGTCTCGTCAGTAAAGAAATACATATTAATGCTTCTAATTTTACATTTACTGCCAGTTCTAAAATGTAAATGTCACAAAGTCAAAACGTATTGAGTCGATAGCTCTCATATAGTAGGTACTCCCACGTAAGGTTATTCATGCATAAATTTAAATCCTTTATGGCTTCAGCTTCAATAACTATAAGAACGTCATATTGTAGTGGTATTTTGTTAAAACGGTTTTCTTAAGAACAGCCTCGTTTCAATGTAATCTGACGTTACGCGAAATTGTTAAATCAAAGATAACTAATAACAATCCGTTTCATATAGGAACTGATTTCCCGATTAATGATCCAACTCTAGGAGGCACTTATTACTCGCAATGTGCACAATAAATACTCGCTTATAAGCCGGAGATTCAAAATCGACGGTGTGTGTCAGACGCACGGAAATTATAATGTTATTTGAGTAGTATTTTAAGCTGTTTTATGCTGATATTCTGTATATACTCGTATTAATAAATAAAATGCCAATATTTCAAAACTCTCATAGAACGATAAGTATGTTCGCCACCATCGGGGTATTATTTCATATTCTTTTGCGAACTAGCGAACTGTGGAATCGACTCCTGGTCCTCCCGTCTTCCCTGAGAGATACGACCTCTTACTGTTCAAAATTCTAGTGTACTCCTTCCTCAAAGGCCGGCAACGCATCCACTAAAAATGGGTGTCTATGGGCTGCGATGACTGCCCTTTTTGGGCTTCCTGCAGGCTCGTTTGCCCCCTATTATATAAAAATTAAAAAAATATATTTATGTATATTATGAGACCAGTCACAAGGACATCAGCATTTTTACCCAACAATCAAACATGGTAACCACTAGAAAAATGAGGTCAAATGATTTAAATGGTTACTTTTGTATGTTGACTATATTTTATCAAACTAATTATTAATGGAAATGCAAATTATTATATAAAAATTGACCCAAAAACTAAATAGCACGGAAATTGAAATATGTGTTTTCATTAAGTGCAACGAATTCATAATTTATTTAAAACCGTGAAAACCAAGAAAAAAAACTAATTAATTTATGACTTATTAATAACTTCACAAAATTTTATTCGTCTCATTAAGGTTTTTTTCTCGATCCAGACGGTTTCCCCTTAACTTGATAACATTATTTAAATGTATTCTGAGATGCGGGAAATATATGGCTGATTAATTTAAGGGTTGAGTTTTACGTCCGCCACTTGGCGATTCTATAGATACGTCATTTTATATGTTCTTAATTATATGTTTCTTCATTCTAATGGTATTACGTTTTTTCAATTCAAATACTCTTCTTTGCAGGTCAACCACAACGAAGGGTAACGAGAATCCCCAAATTCATATCAAGAAGTAAGTTTATGAAACATTCATACTTTTATTTATCCATTTCAAAAATACAACTATCTTTAAAAAAATCAACGAGTAGATTATATTAAACATAAAACTAACAAATTTATTGTAAATCTACTCAATCAAAGTTAAACCATACTAAAACCTCTGACGCATCAACACATTGCCAGCTCTAGGTATCTAAATCTGAAATATCAAAAGCCTTATAGGAAACCCGACAGAAGCAGAAAAAGTTTAAATTAATTTATTATTTTGAAAGTTTACCTGAATATTCACTACTGTTATTCCAAGGGAGAATATAAAACGAAAGATGAAACAACTAAGCCTGACGCGCGTTTTCATAAACTTGAATCAATTCACTGGATTCCCTAGCAGACTACATAAATATTAAAGTCAGTAGTAAATAATCGTGAAATAATTGGATATCTCAGTAAATAGCCAAAATATAAACTTTTTAATATTCAAAATAGTATTATGTTTGGCCATTTCATTTTAATTAAAAAAACATAATAAGCTTTTTGCTATATGTAAGGATAGTTTATGAATAACATTCGCTGTTTATTTATTTTATTGGAACCTGCGATTCTAGCTTAAATCTGTATTAAAAATGTACATAACTTATAATAGAATCTTATTAACCTTATTTATGTATGCAGTTATAAATCATTAAAAAAAATATTTATTATCCTGAAATCTATGTATAGTAAATAACGCAAAATATTTCACAGTACATTAAGCGGTAAAGTGAATGCATTTACACTTAGCTTTCATAAAAAAGTTACTGAACTGTTATTAATGAAATTAGTACGTGTACCCGAGGGAATGTAGGACACACTGTAGTGGAAGGACAAACAAATAGATTAAATAAAAAAATAAATAAATTGTGCGTGTACTAGGTGTACACACGTAAGAAGTGAAACTTCTTTATGATCTTATTTTTCGAAAAATGATCTACTATATGCAACTTTACAGAAATTCGTTAAATTAGATAAAGTTTCAAAAAAGGCTTTTATTATCATAGAATAAATAAATAGAATACAAATAACACAATTATTTCATTCTACCTTATTAATACTAAGATTATTACAGAATTTCATTAATTGTAATATAATTATTACTATCATTGTTATCGTTATTATATATTTTTGTTTTTAATATAAATTTTATACATTTTATGAACGCACTACACGGTTTTTGAGATAAATAATAATGATTTAAAAGCATAATTTCTATTTATAACTAAACATAAAACTGGATCCGAAATCGCAGGACAAGAAAATGATGGCGCGTAACGGAAAAATGTGACGACGTCACGTGACGGATTTTTTTTTCCAACGCCGATAAAGAAGTTTCACTTCAATAAAAATGTCCAAGAACTGTTCAGGTGACGCACCTCTTACGCTAGGATAGAACGTTATGTTTATTAAAATTCAAATAAATGTGTACGAATTCTATGATAATTTTTATGCTTTCCCTCGTTTCGCACCAAGCTTACCATCTCAAATCCCTTGATTACATAGGAATCGAACCCAGTAGATATACGTCACGGTGTCCTATTCACCGCCTTAACCGTTAACAAAATGATAAGAAATCTTAATCCAAATTCATTGAATCCATTGTTGTTTTAAAATAAGTGTTGTTTGATGATTTGCTATTTTAAAAGAGTACCGAGAGTTTTTTACGCCGGCTTTTTCTCTCGGCCTACACCCTCTGTTTTCTTTGCCGATGAGTAGGGACGCTTCTTAATCATAATAATAAGTATTATCTATAATATCTTAAAATCAACTCAAATTTCCACTGGGCCACCGCTTGCAGCTGTATAAACCGCAAATTCGGCCCCACATTATGTACTGTTCTTACTTCTGGGCGGGAGCTACCCAGTACTAGCTCCTTCCACTTCACCTATTCAACGTAGAACGATTCGAATTGTCGACAACCAGACTTTCCGACCGGCTTGATCCCTTGGCGTTGCGTAGAGATGTGGGATCTCTGCATCTTCTACAGCATTTACCACGGAGAGCGTAATCACCGTCACAACTGAGGGTTTTCTAAGACAATTTTTGCCGCGCACCACCACTATGTTAAACCAGCTCACCCATGTATTTCTGAATCAATTTGACTTAAGGCTCTTCAAGAAAAGAACGTTCCAATTCTTAAAAAGCCGGCAACTCACTCGCGAGCCATCAGCAATGAGTGCCTATGAGCGACGGTATCACTTAACATCAAGTGAGCTTCCTGCCCGTTAGCCGCTGCGTTTGTTATATTTTTTTTTAAATACTATCTAAAAAAATATCTTAATTGTATTCACAATATACTCAATATTATATGCCTCATATACCGCGTGCTACGTATTTAAATGCACATTAACTTTTCATTGTACGTGCCCAATTAAAATTGAACAAAGAATAGCTCGAATAATACGCTTGTGCATCTCCCATCAACCCTAATTATGCTTAACCGTAGTGAAATGGAATAATAATTAATATCTACATCAAATGAATCTTTTTAATTGATAGTAATTGTAACAAAACGCTCTCGAATAGTTCGTTATTAACGGATATATTGTTCCTAAATGAATAAGTCAAAAGATAAAACCTTATAATACATTACGAAGGGCAAACATCGTGGTGAAAGACGTTGTGGAAGGGACTGGCAAATTTCGAGAGAAATATTTCAACCAACGCAAAAAATTCAAAGATTTTAATTGTTAATCCTTCAGGCATGGTCCTGAAAAAAAGAACAAATAAAAACTGCTTTAACATATTAAAACGTGGGCGTCAGCAAATTTACCTATTATTTATTAAGAATTCCATGTTGGTCATGTAAGTACAAAATGAACTTGGCCTCTCATAGTGTACTAAAACAGACAGGCCTTATAAATGCACTGATTTGCTACGCAAACCCTTTGAAACCCCAATTAATTGCGTGGTATTACGCTATTGTAGCATATTAGGCATGAATAGCTATTTCATCACAATCAAACTCATAATTTTATCCATTATATTGTTTAAAAATCCAAGTCTAGCTTTTGCCCCCAGTAAGCTGTTTTAAAGGGCTCTTTATTCGTGTAAACAACTTAAAAATGATGCCGTAGTTTTATTATAAGGGTTTGATTAGTCGAAACTTGTATCAAAACCACAATTGGTTTTTAGATTTTTTATATTTTACTAGCTGTTCCCTGCCACGCTTCTCTGTGGCACATTGTGATTGAGAATGGTTGAGAAATGAGAAACAAAACAAAGAAAGCATTTCATATAAGTTTAAATTTGGAATACTTGTGGAAAAAAATGAAAAATTAAAGAAACAAAAAAAATATAGATAAAAACAATCCTTGATGCGGATTATATATCATGCTAAAATTTCAGCTCGATCGGTGCTGAACTTTTTGAGTTTTTGAAGCGTACACAAACCAACATAAAATTTATTATTCATTTCTACGAAGTTAGATGTCTCACGAATTATCAAGGCAGCATTTGGTTCTTGGGTCGCGCAAGCCTCTGCTTAGTACGACCTAATACGGAGGACTAAACAAAGCCTGCGACCGCGATAAACTATCGGTGGGCGATTGCAGAGAGTCGCGGGGCGACCGGGGATCTCTTGTGCCCTCTCGCGTCGCAATTTATATATTTAAATGTTGTTTTATGAGTATTTGACAGAAGAGGTTTCTTCTCTGATCTTCCTCTTTTATTTCGGATAACATTATCATATTTTTTCTCCAATAACTTTTTTGGCTTACCTTTACTTTAATTACAGGTAGATCGTAATAATTTGCTTAAGTGAATATTAATTTTGAAATAGTATTCAATTAATTGTAGATTGCGAATCCCTAGAAATGATGGGACATTTTAAATTGAGTTAGGAATTTGCAGATATTTTGATTGAATTTCTCTATTAGTTCTCTGTGAACGCTTGATGTGAAATCAATTGAAGCGAAGTTCTAACTCACGATTCCCTGATAATTTATTCGTATTTAGAATTCTCTATCGAAATATGTCAGTGTATTCACTTAATAATGTCCCATATATAATAATACTATAATAATTTTTTTAACTATGGTACAGGTCAAAGGTCAACTCCACGAAATGTGTATCATCAGAGCACGAAAGAACTATTTTTGCATATTTTATTTTGTTTAATCTATCTAATTAAGTACTACTTATTAAAAACTAATTCAGTTTCGGATGTAACTAACATGTAATATTTTACCATTATTTATGTTTATTAACGTTTTCAGTGGCAGAGGTGAAAGTCAAAAAGATTTAACTTCTTTTCGACGTGCCGTTAAAATGAAAAAATGAAGATAAAATAATTTAGTCTTTCCTTACTTATTTTACAATAAAAAGAAGCAGTCAAATTAGAAGTCAGAGAAATACTTCTTATTAATTATATTTATTATTAACGATTAAAATATTGAAGTAAAACTCGCGTCTTAAATGCATAAAATTATAATTTTGATTAAAACACCACATAAAAATGATTCTGTCAGCTTTTGAAACTATTTTGTAGTTAAAAAGTATTATAGGGTTTTCAGGAATCAAGCTTCTTATTTTTGAAAGTTAAAAGCTTTGCTGCACTCACAGCTTATACCGGCCCGTGCTTTTAGTTGGCTTCAGATTCATTTCACACAATGTTTCGTTATATTTTCCACTGTACTGATCTCAGATTATTTAACCTACCTGACTGATTCCTTTGTGTATAGGTTCCCAGGAAAATAATACGTCTTAATCCTTTAAAATAAATCATTTTGAAAACATCACATACCCATAAGGCATGGATTCTACCTATATAGAATAGTAAGGCTATACTATATACCACTGAATTCACAATTTCATATTTAAAAGTTAAAAAATAAAATACCAATTATCTCTATATATTAAATTCTCGTGTCACAATGTTCGTTCCCATACTCCTCCGAAACAGCTCGACCGAATCTTATGAAATTTTTTATGCATATTCAGTAAGTCTGAGAATCGGACATCATCTATTTTCATCTCCCTAAAAATGTTAAGGGTGGTCCCATCCCTAAATTTTTATTTTTATTTTTTAGACAAATTTTTTTTTTTTTGATATAACATACAAAAATACATACAACTAATTTTTATTATTGTATTATAAAAATTATCTGATAGTTATTTTTATTTAACTAAAAAAATGTTTCCAAGAAATAATATACATGGCAAAACAAACGTTTGCCGGGTCAGCTAGTGACTGTATAAAAATAGAATATAATAATAATCGTAATAATAATATAATATAATATAATATATTAATTATTATTTACTAAGAACAGTGATAATTAGTTCTTTGATAGAATTAATATATAGAAAAGGTGTAAAAAAGTGGATTATTTAAACCTATATTTATATGTATGCTCTTTGTTTTTTATCTATGAATAGTTTTTTGAAGAAAAAAATTATTATCAAATAATTAAAATCGTTTTACGTTGAGACACATATTATTTTGGTTCTTTCAGTAGATCTTTGAAGAGTACTAGTATTTAAAAATTTACTGTAAATTTTCTTATTTCGTTCAGCGTAACGAGAATTATAAGGACAAGAAATTTAATATTTATCTTGTTATTAACTTGTTTCAAAATTGTATATTTTCTTTACAGTGAGGGTGACACGCGGAAACGAAAGAAGGGCGGTAGCATGCGTTCTTCTAGCTGTCGTGGCTGTGGTAGCCGCAGCCTCGTACGACCGTGAGAGGCTTGAGATCGCCAAGCAGATTTTAGAAGAGGTTCCGCTTACTGATGGGCAAGTATATTATTTATTACACTCATACTACGAACTTGCCTATTGAAATATCGATATGTCGTTGACAAGCTGAATCTAGCTAAATCCGAAAATTGTTTTCACAGAACTAATACGTTTTGCCTAGATTTGCAAAAATCTTTTGTACTCGTATGTTTAAGCTTGCATACTTTTGTGTTAATGTAGGTAATTTTTCAGGCATAATGACCTGCCCTGGAACATTCGCAAGTTCTTGCGAAATCAGATCAACGAGTTTGAATTGGACACTGACTTGACTCAAGTGGAACCTTGGTCTATCTCCAAGTATTCTCACACAGACTTACCTCGTTTGAGGCAGGGAATGGTTGGGGCACAGGTAAGGTTTTACCTTTTTCCCCTTCTACTTATTATTTATGTCATGCTCAGATCACATTGCACATTTTTCGAGTATAAGGTTTTTCAATAAATTGCAAATGTATACAATCGAATTATTAACGTGAGTAAATAAAAAAATATCGTCAAAATGTAACTTACGAACTACTGCGTTTAATTGGATAATTCTTTTTTCTGTTTGTTATTGTCAAGACAAGGTCTGTAAAAAAGATAATTAAAGAAAAATCTAAAAAAAAAATGTATTTACAAGTGTAACATAAAAATGTTTAAAAATGGGAAATGTGAATAAGGCAGAATACTATGAAAGGTTTTTAATATGTTTACAAAACATTTACTCAGGAACTAAGGGTTTTTCTATTTATCAATAAATATAGGCACTATATATCATACGATTTCAGGCTTCGAGAAAATTAACGTTATTATGAAGAAAATAATTAGAAAGTATATAAGGTGCAAGTAATAGACACGGTGATGATTGAGCCATTACCTGACAATCGATAAGTTACGAGTAGAACATGTTATCTCTACAAGTATTAATTCACACAACGAATATTCTTCTTAGCCTAATATTGCTCAGGCCTCATCGGATGACTAAGTGAACTCCGCACGACATTTCCCTTCATAAAAACATCAATAAATTCTCTGTCTGAGAAGGAAAAAGCTCAACACGCCTTTCCAAGTCACTTTATACATAAGATTATATTTCAAAGCAAGTCTTTGATACATGTAAAATATATTCAACAGGTCACTTTTTGAATGTCACTTTATATACAAAATAAAGTCTCTAGAGACTTAAATGCACTTGTGAAACATATCAATGGCAGACGTAATTTTATTCAGAATTGCTAAATAGTGTTTATTTATTGTGATTCCTGAATTTACTACTGCACAATGAATTTCGGTGCCTCTTTTTTGGATTCGCCGAATTACTTTAAGCGTAATTGAATACGTGATAACTTTATAATAATATTTGTTACAATTATTTTTTCATTTCGACGTATAGTCTATAAATAAAATGATATTTGAGTCAATAAAATATAAAAAATTATGAATTATACAATAAATGTATCATTCATAAAGATATGATACAATATATTAAAATCGTGATTTATATTTAAAGAAAAAATTTAGGGTAATTTTTTAATTTTAGATTAGCTTTTAGCTTGCTCAGAAAATTATGAAAACATATTAGTAATTATATATCGAGGATATGAAATAAATTAAAGTTGATATTTTGATTTAATAATTAAGTCAATTCAAAGTCATCAAACGTTCCTACGCACTACTGATAGATTGACACGTTGACAAATTACAACTTGTAAAATGTCTACAACAATGCGTGGTGTTGCAATTGGAATAAAATAATGACTTTGTGTTCCCTTATAAATTCTATTATCACCGGTATATAGATTATAGGTATATTTATTATACCCAAAAACAATCCGTGATCATACGATGAATTTAATATGACATTGTTTGAAATATGGAATGTTGGAATGGGGCAATCACATATACCTTTGTTTCATTGTGTAACTCACGGCATTATTCATAACAAGTGCTACTTAAGTTGGAGCATATCCGGGATTTAAACGAATGACATGACCTGAAAGATTTCACCCTGGCCATTGATTTTTCTACAAATAAAATACGTGTGGCACTCGGGGACTGCCGCGGTAAAGCTATTGCAATTATTTTTTTATTTTTTATTTATGCAGTATTTTTTTTATTCGATATTAATTCAATCTAACACTTTACCACTCTACCAGACTCAGACTAAGACGCCTATATAGTCTGTATCACTCTAACGCGTACCGGCTGCACCGGCCGCGCTTTCGCTACGTCACCGATCTCGTCAGAGAGATGTGAATACGCAGTATGCGTTCTGTCCCACTGTAACGCACCTGCGCTACGTCACGTCACTGATCACGCCAGACCGATGTGAGACGCAGCATGTCTGTTCCGCTCTAACGCGTTAGGTTTATTTTCGTTACGGAATTTCTTGATTCGGTCGCCGACCTCAAAGGTCGCGATAAAATCTATGCAATAGCTTACTAATAATTTAGTACAACCACACCCACAGGTTGCAAATGTTGATATGATCATTTTCAAATTTTTGTGACTAGTAAGTAATCAGCCTGTGTCCATGTAGATATTTGGATTTGGCTTTTACCAACGGAGCAAGTGTTGATTGCGAACATAAAAAGAAAATTCCAGTAGTGCACAGCCGTGATTCGAAGGTGCCTTAAGCCACTAAGACAACACTCTTCCTGTTTCTACAAAGTATTTAATATTTTTAGAGGAGAAAATCAGGCATGGTTAATGTAAAACGGTTACGGGCTTACGCCTTTGTTATGCCAGAGCGATGTGTGTGCAAATTTTTATACACGCTCGATATAACATCAGAAAATTTAAACTAAAATCCCAGTACGCTTAGCGTTACCCAGTTTCCTCATTGTATGAAGTTAGTTGTTTTGTTATTCATTATTCTCCCAACCTGCTCGGTGCGCGCTAATTACGTAACTTAAACTGTGTTTTCTTAACTTTAAAGCTTAAGGAACTTTAATTTATCACTATGTTTAGAACTTCGCTAACCACACTGGTTGATGCTTCATTTTATAGTTAGACTAGTTAGTTTTTAATTAGGTAAAGCACTTCTTACTAACGAACGAACTTATTGTTCTTTAGTAAATACCAATCTTTATTGCTACGAGTGGTCATTTTGATAGGGTATGTGTATAGTCTAGAAAAATAATTGTTTATTATTGTTACCTGATTTAAATGTGGGTTATAATTGAGAACCACAAACAAAACGTAAAATAAAATAAAATAACGTAAAAAAAAGTGGGCGTATTAGGTGGCTAACGAAAGCGCGAACTTACAAAGCTCGAAAAAAACAAATTTCCGGTCAAACTGTCAAAAACTGACGAATATGATAATCTATTCACATGTACAAATTATTACTTCAATTTTTAACGAAACTATCGTAAAGTTCGTGTCAAGGCTTCTAAAATACGGCAACCAGAGGAAAAATCAAATTCGCAATCCGTGTCAAATAGGTTTCACATATACTGTGACTGCATATAAATATATAATATAATATATTGTATGAAATGTTATCGATCCGGTCTCAATTTGGTCGAAAACTAACACCATCTGTCTTGGCATCATGTACTGATCATATTACTTCTAAAGAAATTTGGAGAGCCACAGTCACGTCAGTGCAAACAAGCAAAACTAGACCGTGACTTTATTATTGAAATCAGCAACACTACTGACTATTGTTCAAAATAAGAAAATATTGCAGATCGATAGTTCATTGAAATGTTAAAATTTGAGGGCCAAACTGAAAATTTTTTAGGAGATATAGCCAAAAACGTGTTTTTTGAACCCCTTTTTCCAAAATGGCGACCGGGGGACAAGCACGCCAACCCCATAAACTTGAGGTTAAGCTTGTATTGAATGTTCAAATCAAACAAATGTTCAGCAAATGTAACATTTCAATGGACTAACGCAATGTGCAATAGCTACTCAAAGCTTCAATTATCACTCTTTTAGTTCGACGAACGACGACGACAAGCGATATTAAAAATGCAATAACCCAACCCAGTGTCCCAGAGAGAGTTCGTTATCGCCTTGCATTATTCATATGATGTGACGCGGTATAGAATTACCATGCTGTAATCTGACCCAGAGCAAAGCTGTCATGAACCCATCACTTGGATGAGGGACGTAGCTCTTTTCTGAAGGCTTTCAAAAGATAAATTAATTTATAAAATAGCGAGTTGCGCGCATTGACCAGTGGATTATTCATCTATATCGCAATTCATACTTGAGCGTACTATAAGGGAGACTGAAGCACCAACTACCTACTTGCATAGTAAAAAAATCCAGAAAACGTGTGCAGAAATCTAAGACCAGGCATATCAAGGTTTTGTAACGCCGTTACTTCAATAGTGAGAACATTTCCTGTCTTGTTATAAGCGATGACTAGAAGCCCTCCATAGGCCAGGAGATAGTGACACAAAATTGTTAGTCATTTGTACCAGTATGGCGGTTCTACAAGTCTTATTACGAAATTAAAAAATAATTTTAATGGTCATAGCGCTGATACCGGCGGCCCAAGCGCGCGGGCGTTAGTCGAACTCATCGCATTATTTACGACTTTTAAACGATTTGTTCATAAAAAAATAAGAGGCGGCAGTGTCATGCCATGCTTCTCCGGTGTAACTTACAGCCCGCCACACTGACGCGAATGCGATGATTAAAAAAAATTCAACCATTTGTACCAGGCTAATTTTTGCACAGTTAATCATCGTCGAGCAGCCATTTACTAAAATCGCCATGCCATACTTTTCGGACGGTTCCAAATGGCCGCCGTACCGGCGAAAATCTGCAATTTTTTTCTATTTAAAAAAATTTAGGCTGGTATAAATTGTTTGGCAAAAATAAAAAAAATACTGATTTTACGGCGCCGGCACTATCTCCCTGCCTACCACGGCTTTATACGAGCGTAATGCCAATACCACAGGATATCCACATACACAAAAGTAGTGAATTTCCTGCTGCTAAAGATTTTGTTTGAATAACTTATCCAACAACCGGTTCTATTTAAGAAATTCTGTGTTAAGTGGAAATTGTTTATTTATTGAGAATTGTTAATGGCTATATCACATCGCGCTAATGGAAACGAAGCATAAATGTTTGAAAAAACCTTTTTCCGTTGTAAGTTTCGCAAAATGTTCGACAGACTTTTACATGTTTAGATAAAAATGTGACTTCAATTACAATGATAAGGTTATTATGATTATAATTATAGTATTAAAGATATTTACTTACTACATACAATTTCCGAAAAATTTTGCATCGTTTATTCAAGTTAGTAAAATTTATTGCACTATAGTTCATAGTACGATAAGACTTACTATAGATTGGTCGCCGATGGATTGAGGTCTACCACATCAATCAATGCCGGATTGGTTGATTTTCGGCCTTCGTGTTATTTGATAATTCATGTCAAAGCGTGATGTATGTCGCTATTTGATTCTGTATGCAGTGAAATATTGCCATATAAGCGATAAATGTATCCTTTTTATGATTTTTAATGGTTTTAAAAACCTTTAGTATAATGAACTTGGTCATATTAAGGCAATTTCTGCCTCGCACCACCACTATGTGGAACCAGCTGCCCACTGAAGTATTTCCGAACCAATTCGACTTAGGGTCCTCCAAGAAAAGAGCGTACCAATTCTTAAAAGTCCGGCAGCGCGCTTGCGAGCCTTCTGGCAGTGCGAGTGTCCATGGGCGGCGGTATCACATCACGTGAGCCTCCTGCCCGTCTGCTACTGTAACATATAATTTTTTTTTATAATATTGCTAGTTCTTCTCTTCCGTTCTACGTTCTTGATTTGAGAACCGCCAATAAATGTAAAATTAGAAGCATTTAAGCATAGAATTATCTATATGAATAATTAATTAATTTTATATAAATAATCACGTCTTCAAGTAGTAATATAGTTCCTCACAAATAAGAGTAACACGTAAAACTAAACCACAAGAGGGACGACCAATCCTTTTCTTACAAGGATTTCAAATACGGGATTGTCATATTGAAATGCAAATTCTCGATCGATAAAAAATCTGGGTTGGAAATAATTATAGAGTAAAGAAAGCGGCCGTTATACAAATCGAGCATCACATACACTTCAGATCATATATCGTAAATTCTCCGTCCGACATTTGGGTGTCTCATGAGTTAAATGAATCAGCATCCATTATAAAAATCTATAAATTCCGATCGATAGAATTTACAATTTTCATATTAATTAAACTGAAACAAGTTATTTCTATTCTTATTTATTTATAACTCAACTAATAAAGCAATCAAATCAAAGGCGAATAATTGTTGACTGAGACAAGTTCGAATTTAATATTTATAAGTAATTAATGTCTAGCCGAATTTGTTATTAAGAATATTTAGCATAGCATGTTTCATAACTCACTTACAGTCTCAGACAGTACAGACAAATAATCCTCGTAAAATTTACAGTTAAGATTGAATTATATTTAAGTATTAGTTTAATTATATACAAATATTTAAAAAAATCAGCGGCACTACAACCTTTGTAGGTCTGAGTCTCAGATTTCTGTATCTATTTCATTATGAGATTATGATCTAGAATCATTTGTCAATCTAATAGGCAAGTAATCAGCTTCCTGTGCCAGACATACGCCGTCGACTTTTTGAGTCTAAGACAAGCCGGTTTCCTCAACTGTTTTCCTTCACCGTTCGAGCGAATGTTAAATGCGTACATAGAAATAAAGTCCATTGGTGCACAGCTGGGAATCGAACCTACGACCTCAGGGTTGAGGGTCCTCGAAGGCTTAAAAATTTATACCAATGGCAGCAAAACTAACCTAGGAGTGGGTGCGGCTGTGTCAATATGGGAAAACCGAAAACCGAAAAAAAGCTATAACGTATACCAGGCCACATTGCAAATCATGCCACACAGGAGGTGGAATTATTTGGGACAATCAAACGCAAAGATACCACTTTCTTACACCAGGAAAGAAGTAAAACAGAAATCGTTATCGGAGTGGGACAAACGGTACATAGAAACTCATACCGCCAAATCAACGTTATTCTTTAGAATCAATGTCATGTCATAACAATGTCCTAGCCCACAAATTAAGCAGATCTTTACGGGACATGGGGCCATTGCTGAATAACTTCACAGATTAAGCCTGAAATAATATCTGACATCTACGTGCCACCTACAAAAAAGTTCGACAGCAATGGATCTCAGTATATAATGTCCAGTATTTGGAGCCTCCAGGCTATATAAAGGTAACTTCCACAACTAAATACGTCACTCACTGCAACAACAGCGTAGGACTAATCTATTGCTGGCTGTGCTGCGGGCGCGCACTTCTTGCTCAAAGATTTACTTACGGGTGCGTTGGGATCGCCTAATTATGTTGCGGTAAAGACTCAATTATTCAATTAAACACTGGCTGAATTCATAAGAGTGGCATTGTCCATTATTTATTATTTCTTTGTCTATCGTATTACACAAGATAAAAGCCTGTATCATAGAGTCAATTCAAAATCATTTCGTTCAATAGCTTAGTTCCGAAATAATTTGAACAATTTATATACGTGCCGCTTAATTAATTAATGTTATTAACTTTATACGCGAGCGTAATGATATGCATAAAAGCATTTAGCACTATCACTTGTAGGTTGACCTTTTTTTTAAACTGATACGAGGTGAAAATTAATGAGTGTTAGCCTAGTGTCTAGGCACGAGACGTCGTGAATCTTTTGTATTTGCGAAATAATACCTAAACATAAAACTTGTCCACCGAAGCTTTGTCCATTAATGCCTACAAAGTATAAAAAAACATTAAATTAATTTATTTCTAAAACAGCGTCAAGCATGACCAATTAGCAAAATTCTATGAGCCTGTTACGGAGCTTGATCATAAACAAAGCTCGAAAGATAATACGCCATTCTCCCGTGGGTAATTAATGACGTATACTCTTCTAAGTACCTTGCCATAATTAAATAATATAACAGCTTGTATGTTTCGCTTTCATGCTTAATGAAATAATAATTTACTGTACAACATATGTATAAACTTACTAATGACCTAGCGGTTAAAGCAGGTGATTCAATACCGTGGTATCAAATCAACGGTATGCACCAGTGGAAATTTATTAAGGTGGCGACTGACATCGAATATGCACTCGTGAGCACGTTACAAGTCGAATATTCGGCATGTCAGTACATCGGGACGAGCAGCTCGATACGAGGGCCGAGCGCCGGAGCGCGCTCCACTCGGCTGTCGGTTTTTTGGTGCATCCCTTTGTTATGAGCATGCTCACAACGAACAAATATTCATGCGAATATTCACATCTAGCGAAAATTCGATGTCAGTCGCCACCTTAATAAATTTCCACTGGTGCATACCGTTGATTACTGACCAAAGTTACGAGGTGTAATGTAGCATTCGCATCAAGCGTGTAACGCATCGAGCATGTTATGCTGTGTTCTAAAGGTGGGAACTGACCAAAGTTACGAGGTGTAATGTAGCATTCGCATCGAGGGTGTTACGCATCGAGCATGTTACGCTGTGTTTTAAAATCGGCGTAACATGCTCGTCAAAACTCTGTGCTCCGCTTTCGCCGCCAGTTTTCACGAGATGGCCGACAGCGAGGACGTGTTGATATCTTTCATTCTATGTAATTATTGTTTTATCCAAATTAAGAAGAAGAAGAAGAAAAAATGTTACTGGACATCAAACTTGTATAAAACACAGGCGTATGAGGTGGTTTGTTATTGATTGCAATATTAAAAAACCAAATGATTACTGGACAGTATAAAAACTTTGTACGCATGTCTCCGATCGATTTTGAACAACTCGTGAATTTAATTGTTTTAATGCTCTGGATGAGCTGGGTTCCACAACACTTCCTCTTCTCTGTATTTTTCTATAAAATACAGAAACTGACCGAACCGCGTAACACTCAAAGGATTCGCCAAAAAATCGACAGCCGGGACTCAAAGCGAGCAATGAGCCGCTCGCTGGATTCCCCGTAACACGACGTACTGACTGCACGAATGCTCGCTGTGTAACGTGTTACATTACACCTCGTAACGTTGGTCAGTTCCCACCTTTATGTACGTGAAACTTATCCTTTCGATGGAGGCATTTCAAGACAAGGCAAGATATTGTTTTATAAAAAAACAATGCAAATAGCAGATTAACGAATAATAATAATAAATCGTTTATTTGCCAAAGTAGTGGTACAATCAGATAGATTAATTATAAAAATCCGCACAATTAGCTATATATAAATAGGCATGCAAATGTCATATTACTTTTTATAATGTCATTACAACTGGCGTATAAAAAAATTATCATAGTAACAGTTGCAATCCAAGCGTCCTTAATACGGTAAAGAGAAACGTGAATAATCATGTTTTTCTATATTTTATTTATTAATATATATATATATATATGGTACGTAATTATAAATGTCACATAAATTTATTCTTTATTATTTTAACACCGTGTTCCTCATACTGTTTTTGAGTCACCCACATTTTCTTAGCGTCAGGGAGTCCAGCGAAGGTGGCGCCACCCAACCAGGATATAGAGTATGCCTCGGGTGATGATAAAATATTGACAGGCCGGTTAAGCTGCTCCTCGAGCTCTATTTGTAATCTCGCATTAAGACCTTCGCAGAAAACATTTGATAAGTAGCGATTCTTTTGTTTGTTAATGTGCTTAAGTTTCACTGAACAATTAGTGTCAATATAAAAAGATCGATCGCTAACAAACCTATGAATATATTTAAAGACTTATCACCTGGAATCATCGCTAATCCACCACAAGGGACAATCGCCTCATATAATTCCGAACTAATCTCTGAATCACATTTCATAGACGCCGTCACGACCGCGTCATGCAGGGGCAAATAATTCGTTTTCTTTTCCATTATAACATCTGGTTGAAATAGCATTTCCCCAGCCATAAACGCTTCATTGCAAAGCTCTATATCGCCACACGGACTATTCAGACGTCTTTCGTAACAGCTTCTTGGCATAGCTGCATCACGGGTTATGTACAATTCTCTTAATATACTATCGATATCGGTCGGACTCTTAATGGCGTGTGCTATATTACGTTCAAGCAAACTTCGTTTTATATAGTTCGATATTTGAACGCCTGCCAGGCCCGTTTGGATGTGAGCATATTTGATTTGACCACCCTCGAACACCGGACTTATGTCGGTAGTGTCATAACCGATGTCAACGCAAATACCGGTCGTAAAACCGGAACCATACATCGATAAAACACTCTGTGACTGAATGCAAAGCGCAGGGGAATTTAGTACTTCAAAAAATACTTCGCAGCATTTTATTCTGGAAAAATAGGTATTGTACAGTTAACTCTTGAACATTACAGCAATTCATAAGGACACTAACTAACGGCTGGAGGCTTGCCAGTTATACGACTTTTGTAGATGTAGATAATATTGTAGCGACACGAACAATCTGTGCCTACGAATCCCTACGATGACGTCATAACCGAAAACGCGTTAACGAAGTTATTCCAACCGCTAAGGATATACAATTTATTATATATAAAAATATATAATTAAAAAAAAATGAATTAATATAAATATTATATACAAATTCTAGAACTTAGACTACGGGCCGGCCAGTCAGTAGTTGGCCTGGTCGTAGTTAGTCTGGTAACCTTTTAAGATGATTGATGCTCCCTCCACATTATTATAATAACAAATACACACGCAATATTCAAATTATATTTTAATTTTGTATTCATTAATCGAAACTCGAGGATTATAATAAATCGCCGATAATGGAGGCTTATTGTAATTGCTTTCTAACGACAGAATAATCATAAAAATGCTTTGTCTTTGTGTGTGTGTGCTTGTTTAATTGAAATAGCCTCATTACGTTTAATCTCATGCAAACTACAGTTTCATTGGTTCGCTTTAAAATAAGAATCGTAGATTATTAACTGATATTTCTTTGATGCCTTCTTCTTTTGTGATTTTTAAGTTTGGCGAAAACACGTCTTATTATTTAAATTCACCGGACGTGGAAATTTATTACGCATAGCGACTAAAGCTATGGTGCACAGTCGGGGTTGAAACTTGGGAGCAGATGACTAAAGCGTTCTTAACTTTCTCTTTGACTCTATTAAAAGTAAAAAAAACTTATTATACCGCGGTTTACGCGCAATTATGTCAGCCTTGTGGATCGCGGGATAAATAATTAAATATTTAAGGTCGAGGTATACTGATAAACAATAATAAAATATGTTTGACATGTGCTGCATAGTAACTTACTTTTCGTCTATGGTTGAAGAATTGCAACAAGCCAACATGACCGCCCTGTCTTCAGGCGCTGCCTTCAGCTCCCTATAGAAAACGTGATGCCATATCCTCTCCATGTTGTCCCAGTGAATTATTTTTCCGTTGACTATGGGACTGCTCAGTTCCAGGTCGTCTATTTTGGCGATCGCATCATCGCCAATAAAGACATCGTAGGGTTCCCGGCCGTAGCTGCCATGTAAATAGCTCGGACGTCCTACTAACGTTCGGAACATCGATACCGGGTGGTTATCGCATGCAAATCCTGCCTTCATAATGTAACTGCCGTTATCTAATACGATAGCGGGCTTTTCGAAAGCCATCCGGGATTTAGGATGTAGAAAATTTATCACAAAACTCGTTCGTACAACCTTTCCAAATCAATTCATAGAAAAATAGCACACGTTTGAATATAGTTGTCATCTTGTAATGGCGACTGACTTGTGAATTGAATTAAAAAGGTTTAATTAAAAAAATATTGATAGGGTATAAAGCCTGAAAAGTATAATGCATAAATAATATTTAAAGCTATCTATGGCAAGTAAAAAGAAAATTTACCCTTAGTTTTTCACATAAAATATTGTATTTTATGTGTGCTTTTATTATTAGACCACAAGCCCATGAACAAAAAATACCTGTGAAATGACCCAACGTGAATAACGCTTAGAAGGCTGTTACTATATCAGAAAATAACTCTGAGTACTATGCCGTCATTTCTGAGCGGTACATGTGAGTACGTGAGTGAATGGAATTTCTCAGGTAGAAATGAGGAATGTAGACTAATTATTAATGTACGGCTTTGTTATAAGTGTATAGATGATTAAAAATAAATGTCGAAAAACCTAGTGCCGTACTAAAGTGATGGTGCCGGAAGTCGGTGCAAATTTTTAATTCGACGATAGTTGCAGGAGCAATATAGGTCATTTATTACTGTACGGCATTGGTGTAATTCCTTTTGGACACATATACAGATACTTTACCCATAAACACCGTACTTATTTCCAGGGAGCGGTCGAAAGCCAAGGGTCGCAACATATATCTGATTAGCATATAGGTGATGATGATATAGAACAACATAAAATTAAATGATCTTGAGAGTACTTCACAAATAGGTAACATTTTCCAGCATGCCGTACATTTTTTGTGGAACACATAGGTGTATGGGGTAAATTACTTCCCTCCAAAAAGAGTCATTTTCCGGTGACTTTTATCTGTACGGCAATAACACAGGTTATCAATACTTTAGACAATCTTCAATAAAAGATAAATGCCGTACACTTTCGATAGTCCGCGATAGATATCCCTATCTATGATATTAAAGGTACTTTCCCTTCATGTCCCATAACTTTGGGACGCCCTGTATTATATTTTTATTTTTGTTAATAATATTTTTCCTTTACCTCTCTCTGCTGGTATGATAAGGCTGTAAATATACTTTACAGCCTTATGGTAGTATACTCAGATACGTACAGTTATTAATGACCTTAAGGGACACCTCAAACGTCGTCGAAGTTTTTCATCAGCTGTAAAGAATAATCTGGAGTAAAATGTACGGCATCTGTTTTTTTTTGTTTTTTTTTTATATTTGTTACATATAAAATAACAATAATCTTTGAAAATATTACTCCTAATATTACTCTAGGAATATTTGAAAAATCATCTAAATTTCGGAAATTTCATATATTTTTTGTCATAATATTTTTATTTGTTACCATTTATAATGAACGGCTTTAAGTTACAACGGTAATATTTAGTAACATTATGTAAAAAAACAAGTTGCCGTACATTATTATCTGATCTTACAGCAGTAAGAACTCGGTAAATCTTGAAATTTCGATAAATATTTATTTACACAAATATTAACAATAATTTTTGGACGGCATAATTATAAAACATTATTGTCCGTGTTAAATAATATTTTGAACATTTTACAATGACCTTAGGGTATATGGGTGTAGGGGTAGGGTTGCGACCCTTGGCTTTCGACCGCTCCGCTGGAAATATGTACGGCGTTTACGGTTAAAGTATCTGTATATGTGTGCAAAAGGAATTACACCAATGCCGTACAGTAATAAATGACCTATATTGCTTCTGCAAGTATCGTCGAATTAAAAATTTGCACCGACTTCCGGCACCATCACTTTAGTACGGCACTAGGTTTTTCGACATTTATTTTTAATCATCTATACACTTATAACAAAGCCGTACATTAATAATTAGTCGAAATACCTCATTTGTACCTGAGAAATTCCATTCACTCACGTACTCACATGTATCGCTCAGAAATGACGGCATAGTGCTTCTAAGCGTTATTCACGTTGGGTCATTTCACAGGTATTTTTTGTTCATGGGCTTGTGGTCTATATCGTATATGTTTTAATTGTATTTTATATTTCTATTTAATTTTTTTTTAAACTTATGCTTACATTAATTGTCACACATTTTAGATGTAAGATTTTGTAAAATAATTAGTAGATTTAGTACTGTGTGTGATGTCGTAAGCTTAATAACTAAATAAATAAAATTGTACATTGTTCGATATAAAACTAAATCTTACGACACAGTTTTAACTAATGTTTAAATAACTAAATTGTTCAGGCTATGATAACAAGAGAGAGTGGGTGCTTAAAGCAGTGAAACAGAGTTTAGTTTTTTCGTTTAGGTTAATTTTCGATACATTGTAATATTTATTTTTTATTGATTATTAGTATAAATTTGACATTGATAACGTCCATTAACCTTAATCCGATCAACGCTACTCATATCGCTATTATAACCGAATGTTCTTTCACAAAAACAAAACATACTCACAGGCTAAAAATAAAAATTAAACTACGAAAAACAAACCTTTTTTTTTCAATGAAATGCCCTTAAATATAAGTAAATTCTAATAAAAATATTCGATTCGTTTATATAGAAATTTAGATTAACGGATAAAGAACACAAGAACACAAATTTCTTTCATGTATATTTTAATAATAGAATCTCTGATTAAACTTCTGTTTAATTAGTGTCTATTAAGAAGTTGGTGGGCTTTTATGCATTCCAAATCATTTCGATGATACAATTTGTTAACGGTAAATTAGAAGTCTCAACAAAACATAAAACAAGATAACTTTCAAATCTATTTTCTAGAACCAAACCTTAGTTCATCTTCAAATCTAAAACTAAATTGAATTCCGCTGAAGAAATCCAAGAACATTACGAGTAACTACAAACAAATGAAAAGTAAGAAAAACGCTGTGTAATTGTCGTATCATTCGTGTAAAACTCTATACCGTTATTAGGCAATTTGGAATGTCAAAATAACAAATGCAACATTCGTATTTTTATTATTCCTTTGTAGAATTCCAGCTTGTTCGCAATGAATTTGTTAAAAAAAAACATTGATTTATGAGCACAACTGCAATTGACACAATGTTCATTTCATCAAAATAAATCTGTACCTACGATTGTTGTTTTAGATCTGTGTCATATGACCTTTATCTGATTGCTAACTATGCCTATGCTTTACTATAATTTATTATAATTAAACTTTCATCAAATAATAATTCTATACGGTTATTAATTGACGTCAAGATGTCAGATTTTGACAGCTCCAATACATTTTCTATACAGATCATAGCATGAATACTATTCGAATAATAAATTCTCATGCCCCATTTTGTACGGATTGTTTATGGTAAAACTTTCGTTTCTACTCAAATGAGCAAGAATATCGCCATTAATTCAATTAACTGCCCCCTTGCAGTACTGAAGAGTGACTTTAATTTTAACAACGAATTTGTTATTAACATCTGAGATATTAATAGGTAGGTAATATGATGTTATAATTTGCATAAAACTCGGCGACTCCACAGAAGCGGCTGTATGTCGTATACGTGTCTTAAATTAGATTGTTCTTTAATTATAATCTACATTCAAAAAAAACACCACTAAAAAGGCTTCGAAAACTTCCATATAGCCTTAGGAAAGCCAGAACAAGCAGAAAAAGTTTTAATAAAATTATAAGTTTTGAATAAACTTGCTCCTTCACAGCAGTTAAATGTTCACCTAATATGTTCTTTGTTGTTCACAAAAAGATTAATAGTGAAACATCCGTTTATTTGACATTAAAAAAACTTGTATCGCACTTTATCAGCACCCACATCTTCATACTCTTGTCTTGACATCCAAAAATTATCATAAGAAGACAATGATGCCACTATCGAGCCACCAATCCACGCTGCTAAATGTCTTGATGGCATTGCGTCAATTTTCGCCCTCATTTCATATGAGTCCTTTGCTCTCTTTCTCAATTCCATAAAGAGGCGATCTGGGAGACCTTCGAACATTGTAGATCCGCCTGATAAGACGATATTATTATAAAATTCCCCTTTGTAGTCTAAATCCGATTTCGAAATACTTGACCTGATGTTGTCAACCACACTAGGAATTCGCAAACCATGAAGCGAAGGTTGTAAGAGTACCTCTGGACAGAGAAACCTCTCGTCTCCTATTAAAACTTGCTGACCATCGGGTAATTTAAATGGAACTTTCTCCTTAGACGATGCTTTAGCTAACTCCAATTCATAGTCTGTTGTTGTGAAACACAGCTGTTCCTAAAATATTAATAATACGCCTGATTAATTTAACAGAAATAAAGCCTACGTTGAGTTAAACTTCTTTAACAGATTAACTTAGCACTTCCACACAATGTAGATACCAGTTTTCTTTTCGGTCTATAGAACAAAGGCGTTTTATGAAGAAGCTAAAGCTTTTATATCCAATAAGCACCAGCAGCTAAATTAAATTCAACCTCAAGAAATGCTTTTTCTTATCACAGATAGCTTTGACTATTATTTGTGCATTTTACCATTCATTGTTTAGTGATATTATTAAGTAAAATAAAAAATAAATCTTGGGCCTCGGATTTCTGTATCTATTTCATAATCATTTGTCAATGTTATCAGCCTTGTGTGCTTGACACACGCCGTTGGCTTTTTGGGTCTAAGGCAAGCCGGTTTCCTCACGATGTTTTCCTTCACCGTTCGAGCGAATGTACTCGTAAAATGCGCACATAGAAAGAAAGTCTATTGGTGCACAGCCGGGAATCGAACCTCAGGGATGAGAATCACACGCTGAAGCCACTAGGCACTGCTAACTAAAAGTGTTGTTAATATGAATATTAGATTGATCGTCGGTTCTAATAATAATATTTTATTATTATCTAAGCTGTATAGAAATTATGGTAAACAGAGTACCCTTAAGGATAGCATTTCCTCACTATATTTATACATGAGCGAAAGCACCAGCTCCAATAAGTAATTATGTTTTATTATCTCTTCTTATGTATATATATATATATATATATATTGTAGATAGGTTCAGCAATCATTCTAATTAATAAAAAACCCAGCAAAGAATAGATCTGTGTCAAAATAGAGTTTTCAGTGTCATAGGTTACATGATTAGCAATAGAAGGCAATTTGAGTTGCAAAGCAGTTTAAGACGTATTGCCTGTCTTGAGTACGCTTCATTTAGCCTTGCAATTTATTGCATGTATGATTTTGTATTAACTATAGCATATATTCTTACATAGTCTTTTTTTTTTACATTTAGTCCTATTTTTGAGGTAGGCTAAAGGCTTGTATAACTTGCTACAACCAGCTTTTCCTCAAATAAACTCAGCAAGCTTGATAAAAAAATCACTTCACTCAAGGAATGGACCAACCGATTTGTTTGAAATTTATTCAGTAAACAACATATTTGTTTTGTTTTTTGGTGTTGTTAACATAAGAATATTAATTATTTAAAAACCTATTGAGATCTAATCCATACAAAAGTCTATATTTTCATTTGAGTTATTTTTTTCATTCAGTAATATTAATTTTGTTTTTATTGAATCGAACTGGTATTGGATAGATGTGTTAGAAATTATTTGTTCTGTTAGGTTAATACATAAGAACATCCGTGATTTTAACCCACAATCTCAGGGTTGGACTAACTATGTTCTTGTTTGATCGCTTCGAGAAAAAGACGCAAATATGCGTCTGCACAATTGCTAGTGGATAAAGCTTTCGAGTATGTGTATTGTGTATATATTTGGAGTCCCGACAATCCCTAGTGCACGAGGCAGCTTTCTGGGTTTGTGAGCCACGGAGACGATTTAAATAAGAAAGTCAAAGAAAAGAAAACAAACCGAGCCAGAGCTAATTGTAAACACCGAAACGTGTACTTAAAATTTGTTGAGTATTCTCATTGTATACCTTAAGTTTATCCACAGATTCAATCTCACAAGGCGTAGTGAAACTATACCCAACTTGCTTAAGTAAATACTGGAGTCTTTCTGTTAGTAGCTTTCCATTTAACTCTGAGCAAATTGTAGCGTGCTTTAGTGGAAATCCTTCAAATACTGGAGCGGTGTAATTACAAGAATAGCCGTTCTCCCACACTACGCCTGTAGTTCTGCCGCTAGCGTGGAGGACGAGCGCGGGAGATATAGCTAAGTACAAATCTTTTATCAGAAATGACTCAAATAGTATCTCGGCCAATTTTTCTCTGAAAATAAACATTAATATCACAGCGGAGCGTGCGATACTTAAACCAAAGTCGGGAAACTTACTTGTTAGGTTACCGAAATCGATGACCAGTATCAGGTGGTAGCTTATAAAGAAAAATTACCAATGAAACAGGCGGCCACTCTATGTATAGAAAATTATCTTTTGTTAAGTTGTTAAGGTTATAAAGTAAAAAATAACCTATAAATGTAAAAATGTTCTGTTGGTTTGTGTACGCTTCAAAAACTCAAAATGTTCTGCACTGATCGAGCTGAAATTTTAGCATAATATATAATCCGCATCAAGGATTGGTTTTAGTTATTCTTATCATTTATTTTTTATTTTTTCCCCTATTGCAAAATTAAACTTATATGAAATGTATTCTTTGTTTGTGCCACAACGAAGCGTGGCTGGGTACAGCTAGTTTGGAAATAAATAGTGAAGTTTCCACTTTTAAAACGGATATTAGAGTGAGCTAAAACGCCGTACTTCTTAGGCTAGACGTCTTTGTTCCAAATTCAAATAAACTTTTAATTTATATTAAAAAAAATAAAACGGAGGTCATGGACACGTCGCTAGATCGTTACGGATGGAGGCCATATATATATATCGTAGAATTTAATAAAACGGGCAATCGTGAAACCTTAATATGGTACCATTTAGATAATATTGTAGCGTACTGGCTATTTTAGTTTAATTAACAGTCTCTTCCTTATTATAGAGGTAAAGATTTTCATGTATGAATTATTCTACAGCTTAAGCTTTCATCAAAAGTTCTGTCTAAAGCCTTTGCCACACAACAAACAAGCTTTGAAATATACATAACTAATAAATAACTTGGCAATATAAAAATTATTGATACACTCAATCCTTATAATAATGTAGTGTTTTCCAGTTTTGAATTCATATAAATATTTTTCCATTTCAATAGTAAGTCTTTTTAAGTTTTAAGCTGCAACCTACTTATCTCTTAGTTTTGTCAACGGATGTAGTGCTATGAGAGTTGGAGAAATCTCTGGCGCCACCAACAGTTCCCGGTAGAAGAGATGGTGCCATAGCTTCTCCATCTCATCCCAATCTTGTACCATCCCTCCTTCTATAGGCCAGGATAGATTTGAAATTCCTTTCTTTTTTATTGCTTCGCCACCAAAATATATGTCTGGCACTCCATCAGTTAGGCCTTCTCTGCGAAATCTGAATACAAATCGATTAAAATAATAATAATAATTTAAAATAGATATATATATTTAATATAATAATTTAATATATATATAAATCTGAATACAAATCGATTAAAATAATAATAATAATTTAAAATAGATAAAGACAAAACTACAACAAATTTAGAATTTTTGGTCCCTGTATCAGTGTATTTTTAATGACTTATTAATTTTTTGATTACATTTTTTATTTGTTTAACTATTGTTCAAATTGTTTAAATTCATTTTTCAAAGAAAGACTTGTAGTTTTTAACTATACATAATAACTACTGGACCGATTTCGATATTATTTCACCATTAGAAAACCTACATTATTTCTGAGTAACATATTTAAATGCTTAATATTTTTTGTATCATATTGCGGGCTAGGCTTAGACGTGATAACGTCACAAACGTTCTTCACGATGACCAAGTATTAATTGTGTAAAATTTATTAGTGCACATCTGGGATTCGACCTCACATCCTCAGGATTACAAGTCACCTGGCGACTACGTTGCTCTCAAAATGAGTTATTTTAATGAATTATCAAGATAAAAAGCAAGTAGAAATTATAATATTTACTTACAAAATAATCTCGCTATTCAAAACGCGTGGTTCCAGAGGGGTTGTAAATAAATATACACAGTATACAATGTATTGTTAATGTAACAAAGGTCTTGTTATGTCGACTACATAAAAGATTACTGAAATATATATACGGTTACCTTTATATTATATCTTTTAAGCAAACAGTTGACCAGAAATTGTAAATTATAAAATATCTGTTTCTATATCTAAGTTCTTGTAGTAATTTAGTAGTAGGTTAGTCCGAATAGCGGGTTTTTTTTTATATACCGCCGCTTTTTTCTACAGACATAACGCTATGCATATACGACTAGTATTTTGAAATCCGGACGTAAGATTTTATCTAACATCGTCCGTAATAAAGTGTCCCTTAATAACTTTAATACATGTACCATAAATCTACAAAATATCAAACAAACATATTTCCTATTCATCTTTTGAAAGCTAACTTGTTTACCTTCCAACTACACTGGGTATTATGTTTCTTGGAAACGATTCTCCGGCAAATCCTACTTTGATACTTTTTGATCCTGCATCAACTATTACACTTACTTCATCAGACATTTTTATAAACTATATGATACACACCGTAGCCAACTAGATTACTCACAAAAGCATCTGAGACCATGATGAATTAATAATTAAGTAATTTTTAAAATGAGAATATTAAAATGGTGGTAGTAGATACTCGGGCATGCGCAGATGTGCATATGGAGCTCTCGCTTCTCTTTAACCCTCATTCCTCTTGTCTTCCATCTCTGTAACTCCCAATAGCGATTTCGACTCGAAAACTTGCGCGACCAGCGATCCTCTGGATTCCTATGAGGGTCCAAGGGAGAGTAAATAATTACAATTAGCGTGTATTTACAGACAACAATGGAAAAACGGTTCAACCAATTGTTTATTATCCCGGATAACAGAATTTATATTAAAATATGCAAATAATTCACGAACCAATTTATGTTTTTCTCAATTACTGTGAACGGTTTTTACTGATCTCGGAAATTCATTATATTTAATCAAATTAATGTTGAATAACAAAGTAATATTCAATTATGCTACGCGGCGCAGGAAAAAACTTATATTTAGGGAGATAAGTTAGGTGGTGGTTGTTGGAGGGACAACAGGGAGCTTATAACTAATAAAATTCAAAGTAGTGGGGTTGCGACGCTGGATTAACAAAAAACTAATTTGACTTATTTAAGGATTAAATCTAAGTAAGTCTAAGTGACACTTATGTTACTTATAAATAATATAAGTTTAGTCTACCTATTGGGCATTATCAGAAATTTTGAGAGTGTTAGGTATATGTATTACACTATATGAGTGTGGGCTCATTTTGGTTTCAAGTGTGCGATGATTTAAGTTGCACTTCTAATTATTAACTAAAATATACATATATATATGTAACTTGAGTAATTACATTACTCGGCTCTGAGTATCTAATATTCAAAACTGTTTACTGTTACGTGACTCGCGCCATGTAATAATAGTAAGAAACACTTTTTTAAATTATCAAACAATAATCGCATTATATAATAATATTTTTGTGTTTGATTTATTTATTTAAGAAGCCTACTCGTAATAGAAGCCAAAGAAAAAGATCGTGAGTCTAATCTTAATATATATAAATTACGCGTCATTTTTTTGTGTCCGCTATGAACTCCTAAACTACTTACTTAATCGATTTCAATCGAACTTGCAAACCGTGTGCAGTTTGATCTAACTTTAAACTTTTAAGTTAAAAGATAGGATAGCTTACATCTTAATTTATACCCCCAATATAATTTTATTGCAAATTATTTGTTTATTATTTGACAGTCACAATTCTAACAGATGGCGCTGTGTTGAAAGTACCAACGTTTCTCATAAGCTACAATTAAATGGCATAACCACCAAAAAAGCATGGTGGTCCCCATGACTGGTTCTCCTACCGTTTCCCTTGAATAGTTTACTACTATGTAATATAGCAAAAAATTTCGCCACAGCAACGCTAGGCCGAGTCTGCTAGTTATATAATAAATTCAACTTAAAGGTTGGCATATTCACTGGATTTGGTATATTCTATATAATGAAAAGGCGAATTTTGTTACAGTTTTGGTCAGCGTTCGTTCCCTGCAGCTCACAAAATAAAGACGCTGTTCAGCTGACACTCGAACAAATTGACGTCATTAAGAGACTGGTTGAGAAATATCCGCAATACTTTCAAATGGCCACCTCCGTTACAGGTGAGTTATAAGCATAGTGTTTGACTCATAATTTAAGTATTGTTTCTGTGCTTTGTCCTGTCACTTAAGATACTTAAGCTTTCCTATAGCAACGTCGTAGTCTACAAAGTATTAATGTCGACAGAAATAGAACATCAATCTTTATTATCAAAAGCTTTCAGCCTTCTCTAGGTAAGGCCTAATGTGATTTGTTCTCATGAAATAAAAGTTTTGTGTTTTGAATACATATCGATACTGGAAGATGACAATATTGCAATACCTTATTACAAGCGGATAATCATTATGATACATTTGAAATGTTGATAATGTCAATGGCAGATTTTGTTGAAATTAGATTAATTAAAAAGGTAAATGCCATTTACACTTTAACTAAAGTATAATAACACAACATACAATATCTTTTATTTATTTCCTGGACGTAGTCTAATTCGTCTAATGAAATGCAAAACACGACCAGAACTTCAAACTCTAGTCCATTTTAGTCAAATTATCTTAATTACCTCCGAATGGTATAGAATTTTAGAACCTAATAGTAGAGTTTATCTCAACATTAAGCTTACTCAAACAAACCACCAAAATTATACAACTGAATGTTTATTTGTTTATCAAATAACTACATGACGTTAAAATGTTTCTACTCATTTGTAGCTAGAAAACTTAATGCCCTGGTTTATTTAAAAAAAACTGGGTAGTATAAACTTTTATATCGTAAGCTTAGTAAGGTTTAACCGGGGACGCAATTTGCCTATAGACAAATATCGGTCGAGGTCAAAGTATGTTTGCATAGGATTTGGAATAAGCTGCTAAAATCGCAAGCTTTTCTCGTTTATGGAAATTTACATAAAAATAATAGATAGTTAATAAAGAAGAAGTAGTCTAAATAAATTGACAATTAAATTGACATATTTGTTTAAAATAAGTGCTGTTTGATGATTTGCTATTTTAAAAGAGTACCGAGAGTTTTTACGCCGGCTTTTTCTCTCGGCCTACATCCTCTGTCTTCTTTGCCGATGAGTAGGGATGCCTACAGATTCAAATTTAATGACGTATAAGTGATACAGGTATCACTTATTCCACGTCTAGCACTAGTCTCAGGCCCTTTTATCAACTAGATAATCGTTAACTTTATAGTAAGCCTTTTTACACAGCTTTTCTTTAATATATTTCTTAAATTATTAAAAGGCAGAGACAAAAGAGCCTCTGGGATTTTATTAAAGAAGAGTATCCTTTTTTCCAAAAAAGAATTACTAACTTTAGATAGTCTAGTACGGAGAAATTGCAGCCTGCGTTTGTTCCGAGTATTAACATTGTGCGTATGTTCTATTCTAGTATACTTATCACTATTTTTGTATAAATACATAATATTTTCATAAATATATAGCGAGGGAAAGGTAAGTATATTAATTTCCTTGAATTTATCTCTCAGAGATTCCCTACATTTTAAATTATAGATTGCACGAATAGCCCTCTTCTGCAGGATGAAAATAGTTTCGACATCAGCAGCATGACTATAATAAGCCATAAGTCATTAAGCTGTAAAAGTAACTAAAATAAACAAGTCTAGCTGCTGTATCGATATAAGTTAGGGAGCCGCGTAAGCTGCAGAACTAAGTCTCTTCGCCAATCCGTTAATATGAGGGGACCACTGAAGTTTTGAATCCATGGTGATTCCAAGAAATACAGTTGTACCATCCAGATTCAATTCCTCATCATTTATAAGAACATATAAACTAATATAATACAATATTTGCAATTGTGTATCTTGGCCTTTTCACAATTACGAATGCCATGTTACTTTAACCAGACTTAAACGAGATTTAAAACAATGGTGCGCCCTTTAAACAAAACACATCTTTCCCACATTTTTCGAATAGAGCGGGAATTGTCCGCAGGCTAATTTTAATTGCTTTCCTTGAGATAACAATGAAGCGGGTTGCCTAGATACGTACTTTTTGTAATACGCCCAGTTACAAAGAACAAATAGAAAGGGTCAGCCTATATCGGGAAAACTCATTATTGTACTGTTCATGAGAGGATAATTACAAAGAAGGAAATGTTGTTTTTATTGAAATAACGGATTGAAATCCCATTATCTATTTCCAAGTATATCAACACTATTAGTAGTTATTATGAAAATACAAGAATATCTTTCCTCTTATTATATTTGTGTATATTCTAGAAATGTGATATTCGTTCACAAAAATATATATTTTTTAATATTTTCTTTTATTGACATAACTTTTACACATTTAAACAAAACAATTTTTTTACCGGGTTGAAGTATTATTATAAATTTACAATTATTTTACATAATTTTAAATTTAACCGACGTTTCGCGTGCTTTACAGCGTGCGTGGTCACGGTGACTGAAGACAAAAGGTGTTGAATGTCAAAAAGTATCACAGCGGTAGACAAAGTTGTATTATCTGTATTTATTTCCCCGGAGTTGATATCGACTAAAAGATGGAGGGTTTTGGCAGAAATGGCTCACCAAATAGAGGACACCGTGAGCAGCTGTGATAGTTTTGGACATTCAAGAACTTCCTACTAGAGTTTTTAAAAATCAACTTAATTTACTACTTTTGGAAAAATTATATTATTCTATGAATGATTATTTAAGTGAAACATAATAATTAATATTAATTGGATAATGTAATAAAATACTATAATAATGTCATGATGTAGTGATAAAACAATATAAGAATTGACTATGAGGATATGATAATATTATAATGTAATGTATCTAATATATAAAATTCTATCTTTTAGATAAGTAAGATTTGCACGCCATTGAGTGGCATATGGTTTTGCACCATTTTCTTGCAAAAAAAATAAATAAATTATTATTATAAAAAAACTAAATCGGTCTTTTGGCACACATTTGACTGAATCACTCTTTCGTCTCTTTCTGACAAATTTTGATAATGTCGTGATAAAAAGAGAATAGTATTATAGTTAAATGGTAAAATTAGACTGACCTGCAGAACCTTTTTACTTAATAAAGTAAATTTTCAGTTAGCAAACTTCGTAAAGTGGTATACGCATTTCAATAAGTCATAACAACAATACGAAATGCAAAAGAAGAAGTAAAAAAGATGAGAGAAATAACTTTGGTGAAATAATTTAAAAAATATATCTCGTTATCCCGTGGAATTAATTTATTTTAATGCTGCCAGCGTAAAGGGTATCTGCCACGGAGACACTTTTAGTGTTCCTTTTCATTAATTTTTATTATTGCTTTTAATAAGATTTTTAAAAAACAATCATTTATATTGTGAAATTTACTAGATTTTCTAGAGAAAAGAGACCACAGAGCATAGAATAATACATTTTTTAAATTCTGTGATCTATTTCGCTTTATTTATGAAATTTTGACAACAATACACATGTAAAAAATAAAAAAGCGTCGCGTCTAAACAAACCTCACAGTTACGAATTATTTATTTTAAGTTCTACATTAAATATAAATTTTCATTAATTTACCTTTGATTTGGCTTCCCTTGCTTGTATATGTGTCACACTAAAATTTGAATTTATATTTAATGATAATATAATAAATTGCTGGTTTATTATATTCATCCTGTTTATAGCAATTAAATATGTTGTTAATTTGTGACAGATAATAATTTGTGCTGACAGGTGTTTTACAAGTATTTTTTTTAGTTTATAACAAATCATAAAAAAAAATAAAAAAAATACATACATTAATACATAGAAAAAGAATTATTAAAGGGGTCTTCTTTAATAATTCTTTTTCTATGTATTAATGTATGTATTTTTTTTGCCAGAAAAGGAAAGGTCAGCAATGAATTTAAAAAAAAAACTAAATATTTTTTTGCGAAAAAACCGTATAACTTTTGTCGATGTCGAGTTCACACACGCCAAACTATAAAATTCAACCTCCTTTTTGTGGTTGCATAAACACATCCTCATTATCCCTGCAATTATAAATTTCTGAGATTTTCATATAGTCTATGTTTTTCACCACATCAATGTTTGTATTGTACAATTTAAGTTCAGTAGCGTACGTACGCCGATTATCCAGTCAAGTAATAAAGTTGGTTCCGTCTGCCGAAACCAGTCTCAATCTGCGTGTACTGTATTATATCTTCCTGGTTTTTCTATATAAGAATAACTCCCGATATTGATAAGGCTCTAGCTCTCTGCAGTACTATCTAAACAGTTTTAATTCCTTCAATTCGTCAAGGCAGAATACGATATACCATCCGAATCACCTTGACGTCCGTCGTTCCACAACTAAACAATTTCTGCCGCGCACCACCACTATGTGGAACCAGCTGCCCACTGAAGTATTTCCCAACCAATTCGACTTAGGGTCCTTCAAGAAAAGAGCGTACCAATTCTTAAAAGGCCGGCAGCGCGCTTACGAGCCTTCTGGCAGTGCGAGTATCCATGGGCGGCGGTATCACCTAACATCAGATTAGCCTCCTGCCTGAGTAAGCAAGCTGGAAAGCTAAAAATTATCTTGATCAAGATCTATTACTACTTTGCCTGACTATAAAAATAGCGTAAAATTTGTATGCTGTATTAATAATTTAACAAAATTTATCCCCAGACATCCTTGAAGCTCACAACGCTCGGCCTCGCAGGATCGCCTCTCTAATTGGCATCGAAGGCGGTCACTCTATAGCTAACTCTCTTGGAATACTTCGGAGCTATTATCAACTGGGCGTCCGATACATGACTTTGACACATACGTGTAACACTCCGTGGTAAGTTTACGACTTAAGCGTACATTTTAGTTCAAATTATATTCAATTTAGGTCTTTACCTATTTGGTTATTTTAGGTATTTTAGGTATTTTGAAATCCATAAAAACATAATTATCACTCATCGGAACTGAAACAAAATGTTTTTTAAATCTCTAAATACAATTATAAACATTAAGACGAGATACTCTTTGACACATCACACAAAAATTTCTGAAGTACTTTTGATAAAGATTGGAATAATCACACTTACAATGTTTCGAAAAACATTTCCCTGTTTGGAATGATTACACATATATTGCTTTCATAACAAATATAATGTCTGCCTCAACATACAAAATATGATAACAATCTTTTTCATAAAAAACCAGAACAAAATATTCGGAATTTTCCTTAAGAGCCCCGTTTTCCTCATCTATCACTCAAATAATTTGATAAAATACAAAATAAAGTAAGTACGCGAGATTTCTTCAGTGTGAATGTTAATGGATTATTTCATTAATCCAATATACTGGATATTTATTATAATTATACGTTACTTAGAGATAATGTAGAATTCTAAAGTAATATATACTCTTAAACGTACAAAGTAGCAAACACAAATACTTTTTCTCCGGTTTTAAATTTTACTCCTTTTAAGAAAATTTTAGTCGATGGGTAGCATAGCAAAATAAATACAATTTGCAAATGAAACTCTTTGCCATCCAGCTGACACAAGGTTTTTAGAAGCTGCCAATTCAAAGGCAACTTCAGCGAGTGCTAAGCAAAGAACTCAGACCCAATTTAATTAAGATCTATCGACAGGAGATAGTGGCTCTAGGGAATGCGAATGCGAACGTTTGCTTCTTGACGGTACTTGACACACACTAACATTGAGTACTTGTAATATAGTCCTACCACTCTATGGGGTTTACGCAGTTCTAGCAACAGACGGATCTAATACTAACATTTTACGAAGTGATCGATTCGACAATCAAGTAGGGTTTTGCGACCCGAAATGAATACCATATCATAAAACGTAGCTGGAATTGTAAAATATTAATTTCATATTTATTTTTTATATGATTAGAACTCTAAAATTGGACAAGCTAAAAAAGGGAACACGGCGGCATGGCCACTTATTTTATCAAAGGGTAACAGCCAGACGCTTTTAAAAAAGTTAAAGTTATCACCTTGGATATTCCCTAAGATATTATTTACAACCTTCTGTAATTCTGTACTTGCTAGGAAACAAATCATTCATTCGGGTCATTTTAGACTTCTAAATATGATACAGCCAAAGATTCTTTCAAAAGTCAGACTAAATGTTTTTGTGATTCCTGTCTTCTGTAACCCGATTTATATGTATTGCTTGTAAAGGATTTTGATTGTCTTGTGTTAATTTTTCGCATTCTAAGCGCCTTACTAAAGTCCTTAATTAACAATGTGCGCCGGCTCACCCTGCTTTGTCTATTGTTTGGTAAGTTTAAAAATTCATATTAGTGTCACGTTCTTCAATCCACCGAAAATGAAGCAAATACCAATTTGTACGCGAGCCGTTGTTGGAATGTAAAAATCGACTTCCTGCGAAAAAACACAAACGATGTTTGTGAAACAATTTTAACCCATCGCATGTCGATACTCAATTTATACTTATATAATACTTCAAATGGATTAGAGGTTAATTGAGTGGTGTTTTGGAATTATATATTTGAAGCGCTATTACGGTCGAAATTGAAATTTCAAGTATACTGGTGTTGCTAATAAATACTCCTCTTGACTTTGAGTGGAAAATACTTTCAGAGCAAATATTTACCGTGTCTGTTAATTGTTAACATTCATGATTTAACCACGGAATTCTGGGTTCGATCGGGAAACAATTCTGGTAGCCACAAAATTGTTAGCATTGAAAATATAATCAACATATGACGCAAGCTCTAACAACAACCGAAAATTTCACTGCACAGTGTAATTTACTATACATAGTAAAATAATGTGCCATATTATTCCAAATAAGATAACGAGAATATAAGTCTCAGCTAATTGCCAATGCACCCTTCCACTCTTCTCTGAGTAAATTTTTCGTTTTTATTCAATTCAATAATAACGAGTGCCTGGAGTTTTATCTCTTATACATAATACTGCTTAGCAATAAATCATACTTCAGAAGTAGAGGCAAGTTAATTAATTAATCTATTTCTACACTCGGGTCTTCGTTCTTGAGTAATTAGTTAATTACTTAAACCGATAAATGAAACCGAGCCCTCAAACTTTTTGTTGGTAAAGGAATATCTGAAATAAAGCTGGTAAATGAAAATAAATAATAATAGTTTGTTGTAGATTATAAAAATGATTATTACCATATTACTTATTACGTAACAATTTTAAATATTCTTTTAGGGCTGATTCGTCCAACGAACCTGCAGCTGCTAATGGTCTAACAGAATTTGGAGAGGTGAGTCTATAGATATAAAAACAACAACAGCGAATTATTGATGTGCTTTTGCGAATTGTATGAAGTAATAGTAAGTCGTTATACATTAATTGCGTTCTTCAATGTATTAATCTGCTTTGCAATGCGAATATATTTATTCCAGTTATATTTTATTCATTACTACATACAAGACTCTTTACACTTTGATATGGTAATATTGTTTTAATGTGTTTTAGTGTCTAAGGCTTCTATAAAGTGATTTACGGTCTATCCTCTCAAAGCTAACCTTCTGCATTGCTAACTTAAAATCAAGCGCGTCGGGTTTTTTTTAACACTCTGAAGGAAATAATAGCGTTATACTTACAATATAAAATCAGGGAAAAGCGTCTTGTGCCATTGTACAAAAACCTAATTTTTCAGTTGTATTGTTCAATTTGTACATAGTAAATTCGATGAATTCACGTTGCAAACAATTGGAATGACTGATTTGCTTAAATGGCAATTTAGCAAATATTGTTTGCTAAAGTGGCGTGAATTCAACGTTTCTATGTATATTTATATGTTCACAGAAAGTAGTGAAAGAGATGAATAGACTGGGAATGTTGGTGGATCTATCCCATGTCGGTGAGAACACAACCCGGGCCGCGATTCGTCTCTCAAAGGCCCCAGTTATCTTCAGCCATTCGTCTGTATACAGCCTCTGTGCTCACAAAAGAAACGTTCCCGATGACATCATACAATCTTTGGTAAAACTACTTTTATTGGCTCATACTGCAACTTAATTAATTATTCATCGTGATTCACGATAACTAATTGTTAGATACTTAAATATTTAACTATTTGTTAATTAAGTCAATAGATCATAAATTATTGATCAGATAATTTGTAGTTCATGAATCAAGCAACAAGTTGTTCAACTTGTGTACAAACAATCTGCGAATACAGGAACATTTCTTGAGCCTGACACGCTCCGAATCGCAACCTGTCTGCGGCTTGGGGTTCCGGTCTGCGCTCCTCATAAATGTCCCTGTGGCAGTGCTGTCGACAAGCTAGGTCATCACGGACTGTCATGCCAAAAAAGTGCTGGCCGCTTCTCGAGACATGCCGCACTCAACGATATCATACGTTGATCCCTTTCCACCGCCAACGTGCCAAGTCGCCCATGCCGACTGATTTTGCAAGAGACGATGGCAAGGGACCGGACGGTATGAGTTTGATTCCATGGAAGATGGGCCGGGTGCTGGTATGGGTTGCAACCTGTTCAGATACACTGGCCCCTTCCCATCTACATGGAACCAACAACAGAGCTGGTGCGGCTTGTGATGCGGCTGAAAAAGCTAAAGCCTGCAAATACAGGGGTCTAGGCTCCGAATATGATTTCATCCCATTCGGTGTCCAGACCCTAGGTCCGTGGGGTGTTGACACCATTTTTCATCAGGCCTTTTCTTGTTGGGTCTAAGATGTGTGAGTTAATTATGCCCATACTATATACTAGCATCGTACTCAGCCGAGTTCTAAAGCACGACAGTGACAAGATATGTCGACGATAAATCTTAGCAATTAAACAGATTGCAAGATTCAATCAAAATGTTTTAAACAATTATTTAAAGAGTCAATAACATAGAAACGAAGAAATCTATCCATTTTATCGTCGTTTAAAAAGTTTTGCGGTTATTTTTTTCACTTTTATATTTATTATTTAACCCCGCATTTTATTTATTATTTCTACACAAAAAGAGGTCATTTTTACAATTGTTAGTTTCGAAGTTTATCCTCGTGAAATGTTAAATATAAATTATTTCAAATCGCGATAACTTTTCTTGACATCAGATTTCACTGAAAACGCTTAATATTATTTGGAGCGAAGCATCATAATCTTTTTGTAATCTGTTTGGTTGTTTTGAAGACGGCCAAAAAAATTAATAAAGTTTTTCTATTTCCGAACAACAAGAGTTTGTCAATAAATTTACTAACTGATCAAACGATGTATTGACTTATTATATAAAAATTTATATGGGTCATTATAGAAATTTTTATTGATGTATGCAATATACTAATAGTTCATATACATATATATTTAACTAGCTGGCCTGGCGAACATCGTACCGCCTAACAGTCGATTCTTTATTTTTTTTTAATACTTATTCTGCTATTCGGGACACCGGTCTAGCTAGTAAGATAAAAAAAAGAAAGTTGATAAGACAACAAATACATTATGTCAAAAAATAAAAATTTACCTTCCCGGAACCCCTCCACTAACACTTGAACTTTATGATATGGTATTAAAGTTCAAATTGACTTTTAAGTATTATTACGAATATTTTGTATAGGAACATAGAAAATTGTTTTTAGTCTTTTTCACTCAATTTTTTTTAATTTTTCTCTCCGTAAGAACCATCCTCGTACTTCAAGGTATATTATAAAAAAAGAATCAGACAAATCGGTCTAGCCGTTTTCATGTTATGTCGTGACAACGGAAAACGGGTTTGATTTTTATATATATAGATATGGCCATGACAAACAACAACAGCAGTACATATACAAGCCGTTATACATACAAATTGTAATTTAGTTATGCTATTCTGTTATGTGGACGTAACGCTCGTTATTTGGTATGCGGTATGTTCAAACCATGTATTATTAACAATGTAGCGATAGAATCACAGTCGACATTACCTATGTTCAAATGATCAAACAAATATGGAAATAGATTGTCAAAAATGTTTAATTTTAATGTTAGTTGTATTATTGCAAATATAATAAACTACTAATTATATTCACCATAAAAAGATTGCTCTAACAAAAAAATTTAAAATAATCAGGATATCTTAGACGTAAATATCCAGGACAATAAGTCATCATTTATTTTTAATGTTATCATATATTAATTACCTTTAAAAAATTATGTTAGTTAGTAATATTTATTTAGTATAACGCATGATGTGTTTGTCTGTTAAAGGCTGTACAATTAGTTTAAAAAAATCTAAATTATTTATTCATTAAGATAACAAAATGTTCACTTATAAACGTCAAAAAGAAATGCTTCAAAATTTTACATTTACTGCCAGTTCTTAAATCAAGGAGGTACGGAATAGAAGAACTGGCAATAAACTCTCCGTGATTCTTTTTATTCGCCAAGTTTTTTGTTTTACACAATGTTAGTAATATTACATATGACATCTTAAGTAATTAATAGTTAATTAATAATAAACAAAGATTTGTCCTGTATCAGCAGTAGGCATGGCGAAATAGGAGCACGCATTTACATTCTCGTGGGTACAACAATTATTATTATTTAAGAACGTCGGCAAACCTTTTTTTTTAAATTAAATTAATGTAAATAAAATGAAATGCCATCAGAAATGTGAGGCCATATGGCCATATACGAGATTCTATAGAATTGTTTAGGTATTTCCCAAAGTCTCTTGGTTCACATTTATCTAAATAATGCATCATCTTCTACATTTTGGAATTTTCTATACTTCCCATATGCATGAATAACGGTCCTATTTCTGCAGACAAGGCCAATAAAGCGGCATTATATTAATCCTACTTCGTAAAGTTAACCAAAATGTTTTGAAATTATTCGAGTTTTGGCAACATTTTTAATACGAACTATTTTATATTTTCATGATTTTGATGAGTAATTTGTTCACAGAAAACGAATGGTGGTTTGATCATGGTGAATTTCTTTCCTGACTTTGTGAAGTGCTCTCCCAACGCTACTATATCAGATGTAGCTGGTAAGTGTACAAATTTAATTTAATTACTTTGCTTTTAAAAATTGGGACAATAAATCGGCCTATATCAATAGACAATCCAAACTTAAATAAAAAGAAATATAATATAGTGTATGTTTTTTGTTAGAAAATTTAAGCGAAAATAATTATAGATTCATAATTTCATTACATCTTCTGAGTCTTAGTTATACATTACTTTAGTTTAAATATCGAAGAGGGTCGAATGTTATCGTGAAATTGAAATAGTAATACAACGTGGACCTCAAAACATTTGTAATGTTTAAACTTCATATAGGCTTACAGCAAATCAGCCTCAAAAATCAAAACGGGAATTGACAAAAAAAAGATGACAGTAGACCGTAACCGCCTACAGGACATCTGAACAAAGGACAGACCTTGCCTGGTACGGTTCTGCGATTTATTAAATATGTAAAAGAGGCAAACAAATATTGTCATATCAGAAGTCTCGAAGACTATTTATGTAATGCTAGAGGCGAATGCACGAGGACACATATATCTTCAATTAAGTATCCTGTGTCATTTGCAAAATTACTAGTAAATAAATCATTTGCTATTTATATAACTAGCTAGAATGCTATCCAAACATTCATATGCTATAGCTTTGAGTTATACATGCGGGACTAATGTTACTGGCATCTTCAGAATTTGACATGTGAATCTACGTAGAACGGCAAATTTGCAGGTAAACATACCATCCTATCTGATGTACACGGTATTCGGTGAGACAAATTTAACTACACAATTAATAATAATCTATATAATAAAATTGTGCAAAGAATATTAAATTTGTAAATTACAATGAAAATTTAATATTTGTTAATACGTAAAGCTTATAAACGTTTATATAAAAATACATAAAAATATTATGACATGCCGTTGTATTTATACAGAATGGTCAAAAAGTCGTGGATCAAATGCAAATAGGGGATAGATGAGGTCATCAGCTGCAAAAAATTGTTCTACGGGAGGTCTCTAAGCTCAATTTTTATAAGAATTAGTAAAAAAGTAAATCTTAATATATATATTTCTTGTGTGCGTGTGTATGTGACTGAACTTCTCTCAAACGACTGGACCGATTTTGATGAAATTTTTTGTGTGTGTTCAAGGGGATCTGGGAATGGTTTAGATTCACAAATCAGCCCGGCATATGGCACTGCAGTCGGTACTTTCATACTTTGCTTAATATCCTAATCGCTTTAAATATCATGCAGGACAACGTCTGTGGGGTCCACTAGTTTTCTTATAAAAACGCAAAATAAATTATAACTCTGCAGGGGTTGAGCTTAGAGACCTCCCGTAGAACAATTTTTTGCAGCTGATGACCTCATCTACCCCCTATTTGCGTTTGATCCACGCCTTTTTGGCCACCCTGTATATATAGAACTTGAGAAGAAGCTAAGATAGTTTAGTTTTCTTTAGTGATAATTTTTGTTAACTTTGGTTTATATCTTTGAAGGAGCGCGCAACAAAAATAAATATAAAAAAAACTAAAAAACAAAATAAATAACCGGGGCAGGTATATATTTATTCTACATTGGTTTAAGATAACAATATAACTAATTGTCAATAAAAAGTATCCTTTGAAAAATTATTAATTTTTATGCGGAAGTTACAAAGTTCATTATTACACTTCACATGAAACTCCGGCCGTGTTATCCACTCTTATAAAATAATGGTACTATTATATGTTGGCACTAAAATACACTGTTATTTAAAAAATTTATACAGTCGAGATCAATCAATTTTCCAAAGGAAAAATACATTAATATTACGGTAAACAAGAGTGCTCTTTGCACGGCCGGGTCAGTCCTGAATAATTGAGTGGGTCACGCAGTTTCTGCTACCGAAATGATGCCATCAATTCATATGATATTATTATCCACATGCACTGAAGTACGGTTAATGAATCTTAACATATTTATTTATTGAAATTGTAATTCATTTAAATGAAACCAATGATCTCAACGATAAATGACCTATGATAATAAGAATAAAGCCCATTTATTTTCAACAACGTTAAATAACATTTTTATAATAATAATAATAATTTATTTATTGCAAGAATATGGTACACAATCGTAAGTTCGCATATCACATACAATGGCGCGCAAATTTGTCTGTAAAGGAATTTACTTTATTAGTCAAGTCTTATATTATTTGTATCGTACATATCATACTTTATTGAATTTATATCAACTACAGTGTCTCACGCAAATAATATATATATATTTATCTTATAACTATTCATCTAAAAATATGTTATTGGAACCCCATGTAGGGTAAAGGCCTCCTGTAGTTCACTCCATGCTTTTCTTTTTTTTGCTTTTCTGCTCCAGTCTTTACCGGCTACGTTTTTATTTTATACAGAGCGATATGGTCTCTTTCCCCCAGGGGGCCAGTCGGCTTGGGGGAGTTTTTATTCAGTTTAGTTGATGTACGTTGTTTGTGCAGTTGTTGTCGTTTTTCCGACTTTTCTTTTAGTGAGTTTTCTTCTAGGACGGGACATAAACTCAAATGCGATCTTTCCAGCGATTTTCTTATAGCCTGCTGAGGAGGGTAGTTCGCTCGTTGATCTGGACTCCTGGTTGGGAGAGAAGAATGATTCTCTCTTGAAATGATATCTATGATAATCAATGACGTGGAGGTCCTTTATTCGATTATCGCCGAAATAATGTATCGGGTTCACATTTTATGTTCACACCTTTGTACACGTTTACACCATAGTTAATCCTTTATTTTTCGACGTTGCAACCATAATCGCATTAATAGTCGGTCCTTAAAAGCGTAAAATAGAATTAATCCATCCACTTTATTTTGATGAAAAACGTCAATATATTTACTTTATAAATTCCAAGCGGAGTAATACATTGGAGTATTTTATTTTAATTAAACGGTGATCTATCTGGTTACGGAAATTAATCCTTTAGGGAAATAAACTATGGACATATTTTTACAAAAAATTATCCGCATTTCGTAGTTATTGGCTTTTGCTGTTAAAGAAAGCGTTTATAATCTCATTACTGAAGTTATCTGTATATGGCGTTTTATAATATATCCAAGTGTCAATCGAGCAGCAAGGTTCAGCCAAGTATAAAGAGACGCTCTTCTAATCTATATAGATTAAGTCTAGATTTCGTTATTGCCTTTTAAATTAATAATATTGGAGCGGTCTTTTCAATATTTAATATCCGCAAATTTTTAATGCGCTAGTCTAAGAATGGAACAGAAAACGAATGTTCAAAGAAAGGAAAAGATTAAAATTCCTATTCATGTATTTGAAAGGTCAGTTTTTCTACTTACTTTTAAAGTAAGGTTTTCTATTTACTTTTGAATTGTTTCATTTCATTTCATTGTTTGAAGCGTCGTCAATACTGTCTTCGGCGCGGCGTTAATCCCATAAGATCCAAGTAAAGAAAAACTACCACTCAATTCAAGTGTACTTAAATAGACCCATACCTATAGATCAGGTAGTTTTACTTTTAGAGATAGTTTGCTTTAAGTTTCGATTACATATCTGTAATTATGGAAAACTGGCCGAGCCCAGTGGTTGCAAGTGCAATCATTTGCACTGGCCTTGCAGAACACAACAGCTCGCATGATATTTCATTGAAACCTACACATCATACGCATGCATGTCTTGAGATCTTCAAAAAACGTCACTCATCCCTTTTTCATTTTATTTTTACCTACTGACTTGTAGTTGATGTCCGTTAATGGTGTCCTGGAGAAGAAATACTCTAATTGAGATTATTGTTGAGGCGTGATTATCGGGAAACTAGGAGACATGATGAATTAATTGAAAAGGATAGTTTTCTTCAAATTGTTTATTACCTTAAGAAATGCTTTAGTGCGTCAACCTTAATATAACAACCTTATGACAGCCTTAGATAGCTTTTAAAGGGGAAATAATCCCTTTTTATATGATTTATCGGTTTGTGCAGTAACTGCATCTTTCAATATGGAATATTTTTTTCCGTTTTTGCAACATTTTTCATTCATGATCCGCTTCTAATGGTCGTTGCATGATGTTGTTTGTATAGCTGAGCCTTTACAAATGGACTATCCTATAAAGCTTCTTTTTTTAAATGTGGATTCCTGGGTCTGTATTTACTGTATTTCCATGCTTATAAGCTCGTGGAAAGCACAGGCTTTGCTGGTTACCTTAATATCTGTTATATCGTTTTTATACTGAATATAATAACGATATGCTTGTATCAAAACTAACTTAAACCACTACGGATACACATTTCATATGACAACAATAATTCAACAAAACTTGAATTGAGTTCCTCAAACTCACGAGAAACTTGCAAGTTTACTTTGCAAATAAAATAACATTGCATACAACTTGTAAAAGATTTTACATAATTCATTATTGGATTTCTGTAAAAAATTCGATGTGCACCCGCTATAATATATAGCGGGTATATATAATTTGTTTTTTGTTATATGTTAAAAAAACAGATGCAATTTCATAATATAGGACCTATATGGGGTTTAGTGTTACTGGAGAAGAAATATAAATAGATGACATTCCCGCTGTCTTTATAGTTCAGCGCTTTGAAAGGTTTGGGCTACAACTATACAGGTTTTAAATAAAGATTTATGTTAGCGCCTGACAGAAAGTACCTCCGGAGTACCAGCAACGCAGTAGCATAGCGTACACAGTGAAGATTGCGTGTTAATTTGATTTCATAATATACAGTATGGTAATATTTTTATACAACTAGCGGCCCCCGCGAACTTCGTTTCTCCTTAATGTGATTTTACTTTTTAGTACATACCTATATACCTGTATATCTGTATACCATACGTGGAACATTTTGGTATGCTACCCCAGAGACTGTTCAGTTTTCTGGAATGAAAAATTTTTAGGTTTTTCTGTGATTTTTTCTCTATGTACACCTCAGAGTTCAAGTCATAATATTTTAATTAACAAATTAAAAATAGGAGTTGATTTAGAGAATGAAAATTAGGGGTTTTATGTATTTTTGGTTATAGATAAACTAAATTAGGGGTAAATTAGAGGTTATATATAAAAAAAATGGTCTAAAAATTTTTTTTTTTGGAGTGGACTTATCACTTATGAATATGCATATAAAATTTGATAAAAATCGGTCATGCCGTTTCGGAGGAGTATGGTTACTAACATTGTGACACGAGAATTTTATATACATATAAGATAATAATAATATTTTTTTTTACCAAGTGGAGATTTCCTGCTATGAACGGGCTTTTAGTATATAACAACACTTATTGTAATAACTTCATTTATACCAATTTGAATAATACATTATTTTAACAAGTCAAAGAGAAAATCATTCCGAAAAGCTTCGTCATGCAACTAGGCGGATGTATTTACATTTTTTCGTGAATATTTTTGAGAGTTATAGCGCAAAAAAATTATTCAAATTGAATCTTTACAGGTCATTGCTAATTTTTTTATTATTATTTATTAAAAGAGAAACCTACATCGATAGATGGCTAAATTGGTTTACTACTATTTTAAATACTTATTAAATAATATCGACAGAAAGTCTGGTTCTATTCTGCTCTATTTGTGTTTAGGACAACTCAAGTCCACGTTCCATCCGTTGTGATATGGTCTTCCTACATTATACCGTTCCAGAATTATTAACTAACCTGAACTCATCATATTACTTGACGCTACCTTTTTACTGATATGATTTAAAAAAGTAAAAGTAAAATATAAGGTAACAATAAAATATTTCTTTATTCCCATACCATAACTTGTCGAACGAATTTGCTTATTTTATCGTATGAAAAATTATTAATTATTTTTGCATTACCGTCAAATGTTCGAAATAGTACCTATACGGTATATAATAAATTAAAGTTCATTCACCCCAAACTCCTATTTAAGGTTTTAAAATAATTATGCAATCATTTCTTCACTTTTCTAGTAATTGAAAACTAAAAGCGACCTACACACACAGTAACACACTTAAGCAGTATGCATATATGTTTATTTGTTAATTTTTACATTTTGTAAAATGTAGGTCATTAAAAGTTCCTAATTCATAAAGGATAGTTCAATCTTACTGCGAAATAATTTCAATTCAATTGTTCAGGTAAATGTCAGAGCAATATAACGCATGCATGAGTGTTCAATGTATCCGGAATACCAGCACAAATTACAAGATCATAACTCAAACAAGGAATACGGTTGCAAGAATGATTTGCGGTATTGGATTCATGCACCGCTGGAACATTTAATTACAAACGTTCAGGTGTTATATTTAATTTGGCTTTTAATTATTACATTGTAATTCTAAAGTATATGCATTACTAAAAAATTATACGTGTAAGAGTTTTAAGCCTCCATTTTATTCTAAACAATGAATATTTTTTTCTTGTGACGACAGGAAAATTTACGTTGTAGATTACTAGAATTCAACTTTTTTGTATTCGTCGTAATCATAAAGATATGAACTTTATAACAAATGAAAACTACATTTTGAAGTGAAACTTCTTTAAGCGCATGAGGGTAACATTTTTACGGAACGTCATAATGATGTGCAGCGTTTTTGTCGAAGAAAAGGGAGAGAGCTATTGAGACTTGAACACCGAAAAATAAAAAATGTCGCGACAGCGGGGCCTCGCAATGTATGTGATAATTATAAAAGGAATTTAAAATAAAGAGGAAAAGGAAGTAGAGGCAAGGAAAACTAGTTTATTTGCAAAAAAGGGACAGCCTTTTAAATTTGAATATGGGTCTATGTTGCTGACGCGTTATATCGAACTGATTATAATCGGGCTAAATCCACAGATAATACTTTTGAAAGTGGAGCTGTTACTTAGTACAAAATATCATGTTGCGGCCTTCGTGTAAGGCAAGGAATATATCTTTTGTCATGAGCTTGACCTCCATCAAAGGCATACATTATCTTGCATAAAGTGGTCTCTAGGTCAACTGCTGGAAAAACTCCAAATGTCGGGGCTTGTAATACATTAAAGACATTCTTAGGTCTAGGCCTCAGATTTCTGTATCTGTTTCATGATCATTTCTTAATCTAATAGGCAAGTAGGTGATCAGCCTTCATGCCTGACGCACGCCCTCGACTTTTTGGATCTACGATATGTCGGTTTCAAAGTCAAACTCAAAATATCTTTATTCAAGTGGGTAACCAAGTACACTTTTGAATTGTCAAGTTAAATTAATTGTAAATTTACATTTACTACCAGTTCGCAAGTCAAGGGCGTAGAGCGGGTAAGAAGAACTGGCAAGAAACTTTCCGCCCTCTTTTTAATCGCCTAACGTTATGTTCCTCCACCGTTCGAGCGAATGTTAAATGCGCACATAGAAAGAAAGTCCATTGGTGCACAGCCGGGGATCGAACCTACGACCACTGGGATGAGAGTCGCACGTTGAAGCCACTATGCCAACACTGCTCTTGTAATACAGTACTTACAAACAAATAAAAATTTGCGTTAATTTAGTGAACTTTGTATTGATATCCATCAATCCAGTAGTTTCTATGCTATATAAATTAAGTCAATCTCATAAGTAATAACCCAAAGTTACATAAAGAAATATTACCTAATATTTCAATACAACAAAATCTAAACGATCTAGCGTTAGGCGGCCCATACATCTACAATAATATTGCACAATATAATTGATTGTACAATATTATTAGCAGTGTAGGGATAATACTGAAAAATTGCGCAATGATTGAACAGAAGTTTGAGCGAGCTTAAATTTTATTGCGCAATATATATTTTTTGTACTGTGTAGGGTTAGTATTGCGCAATATTGTATTCTTTCTTCCTTTTCTCAACAAAATCACTAGCATGGCTGCAGCCATAACTTCGTCGTCAGACATGTTTCTCTCATGAAAATATTGACATGAATGGTTTGTCAATCTTATTGAACGTTAGAATTCAAAGAGGGTTGTTACATATCCATTGCACTCCCTTTGCCCCGCATAACCAATACCTGTACCCCTCTTACGCAACACCGTTATAAAAGGAAATGGACAATAGAGATCAGAAGCTTTTGATCGGATACCTCACATCGGACCGGTCAATTCTCAACTAGATAAGTTTATAATATAGATTATTTGTCGTGCACCTAATATCGGGCTGATTAAATAGTTATATTTAGTCTCATTATTGTAAAAGTAATTAATTAAAGTAATTTAAATAGATTTGGTTTTTTTTGGATTCACCGCTGGCCCTCACTATTATTGTACAATAAAAATACTGTGCAAAATTATTGTAGATGTATGGGGCCGGGGCCGCCTTAAACTAAACTTACTACGCCATAGTTTGGTAATATTGATGTGTATACAAGCAGACTAGCGAATTCTTTTTTGTATTTTTGTATTCTACTCTAAACTGCGACAGTATTTTTTAGTTAACTTTTTAAAATTTAAACATATTTTCTACTGTTTAGATCTTTTTGTAGATTTATGGGTGTTTTACATTTGAATTTTCTTTACAGAACATTTCCACTACATTAAAACTATGATCGGAGCTGATTACGTGGGCATTGGTGGTGACTTTGATGGAGTTAACAGGTAGAATATTCTTTCTAATATGGTTCTACATTACTTTGCGCATTCTCAACTATCTTATCATAAACAATACAAATCAGTCGATAGTAAACGCGTAAATCACAACGAATTTAACTTTTTTATGAAATTACTGAATTAATCGAGATTTATCTGGCTAACTCCAAATATGTTATTATTGATTTTAGTCAACTTTAAAGGTTAATGGAACAGGCAGTATCCGGAACTAAATCTAGTATTCAAATTACGCAGTTGAAAGAGTATCTTGTTGTTTTAAAAAGTTTCATGAGCTTTTGAAATCCTATCGATGGTATAACTCCAGACACTTTGAAGTTCGAATACTTTGAGAATATAAATCGGTAAAGTTTTATAATTAATGCTTCTGAGGTCGTTATCAGTTTATTTTTATCTTTTAAGTTTCTTTATACCTTCGCATTAGTTTGTCCCTAGAGTTCTATGTTATTTCACGAATTTATTAAATCAAATACACCTTACATCTAGGGATCACATTTCTGCATGCATTTACGGTTTTTATGGGAAGTAGACGAACAGCCCTTTTGGGTTACCTTAGTTTCCTGTTTTATTCCCTGTACGAGCAAGTTTTATTGACGACTCATTGGTCTAGTGGTTAATACCCCTTGTCTTCGAATCCATGGGTCGCGGGTTCGATCTCCGGCTGAGACGAACATCGATGTGATGAGCATTTGGTGTTGTGCTTAGGTCTTGGGTGTTTAAATATGTATTTATATGTCTATCTATCTATAATATGTATGTATATCCGTTTCCTAGTACCCATAACACAAGTTTCACCAGCTTAGCATGGGACTAGGTCAATTGGTGTGAATTGTCTTGCCAAATAAAAATAAAATAATTAACTAACGATATTTGTGAAAAACTCAAATTACTTTATGAACTTCCGTTTGAGGCAACATTTTGTAAAAAATCCTCTTTCCGTATAGAATAGCAAAAAATAAATTCAAACACGACAGTCTACCGCAAAACCATGAATAATCTTGCAAGTTTTTCATTGGTCTAGCCTAGAACCACTCTCTGATAAACTGGGCCACAGCCCTGAGGCCAGTTTCTTTAGTCTGTGACCAGTTCTTTTCAGAATGTGTTCACATTTAGAGGACTTATCCTTTAAAAGGGTCATGGCCTTGAATTACATTTATGAAATTGTGTCACTTCAGCTGCTTTATACACATAATATGCTATAACACCAAGGCGAACAAAATAATCTGAACTCTATAACCTACAAAATCCAGGTAAAAATTCCTAAATTCAATTTAAGGACCTGCTGGGTGGAAAGTCAACAAAAAGGTTGATTGATTTCAATTAAGTCGATTATACGCCTGTAATTTTGTTCGCTTTATATACGTAGTAATATTTATAAATTAAACACTTTAGTTTAATTAACCAATTATTAATAATGGTCTACTGTTTCAGTCCCGATAGTTACGTTGTATTTAATTTGAACTAATCGTTAAAGATAAGTGTGTTCACGCAATCAAACAAAACAACGCTTTTGTAATATTAATACAGATTTGCGATATGGGCATTTACCTTGAACTGCCCTGCGATTCTGTAACTCACTTTTCGAACTCACACAGCGGTTTTCGCATCGGCGGTCGCTCTCAAATCAGTCGTGAAGCAGTCATTTTATGATTTGGCATTCTGAAAAGGTGGGAGCTTGTAGTTTATTGTTTATCAGAATGCCAAATCATAAAATGACTGCTTCACGACTGATTTGAGAGCGACCGCCGATGCGAAAACCGCTGTGTGAGTTCGAAAAGTGAGTTACAGAATCGCAGTGCTGATATTAAATTTTCTATTAATTGCTTAAAACAGGGTACCACGTGGTTTGGAAGATGTGTCCAGATATCCTCAACTATTTGCTGAACTACTACGCAGTGGACAGTGGACTGTGCAAGAGTTGAAGAACTTGGCAGGCTTAAACATGCTACGCGTTATGCGTCAAGTTGAAAAGGTAAAATTAAAAAAACCCTTTATAGATTACCCTTTATTTATTTCTAACACGCGTTGTAAATGTTATGTAAAACTTTTATCTAATGCATTTTGGATTATTGAAGCCTGGATTAATATACATAGCTAACTGGCTTCTAGACGTTTTTATAATAAAAAAGGATCGCTACATTCGTAGCAATAACTAGTTGTATTTTGTAAACCGTAAATCGAGTGAAAAATCGAATAATTAAAAGCCAATGAATGTTCAAACAGTTTAAAACAAATTGCTTTCTCGCAACCCAACCGAAAGGGAAATTCTTGGAAAATTTACGGAAAAGTTGGTCGATGAAGTAAACTGAACGCAGGTGTTTCTTTAATGGCAGCTGGAAACTGAAGCGTTTATTTTTATTCGCTTTCAAATATACTATGATTAAATGAGTGTATTGTCAAAAATAAGTTTATACTCGTACAAATGGTAAAATGAACTTTTAAGAAATAAGTTATGTCAAACTTCAATTCAAATTCAAAATTATTTAGTCATTTAGGTAATACAATGTACACTTATGAACGTCAATAAAGAAAAACATATTAAATGCTTCTAATACTAATAATAATTGGTTACATTAACTGCCAGTTCTCAAATCAAGGGCGTAGAACGGACGAAAAGAACTGGCAATAAACTCTTCGCCACTCTTTTTTTACCGCCAATATATGTAGATTGTAGGACAATTAGTACTGACTTCATTATTACTGACACCCTTTATCTTATTTGTTTCGATTGTCAATACCCTTTACCATAAATGTATACTTTCCATATTTTACATAAACTATTACCTAAGGAAATTCTCGTTGTAATGTCGATTTCAGTTGATTGTTCGACGTAGTATGCGTGTCATAAATACGTGAAGTGAATTCTGGCAATTTTTCATTAATGTTCGATGAATTCTTTAAAACCGACGTACACGGCCAAATAAAAAAAGTGGTCGGCAAAAAAGACAAGAGGATTTTTGACTTTTTTTTTAAATTACAAAGTTATGTAAAAACCTAAAAATTAGTGTGCGATGTTTTTAATAACGTTTCGAGAATACATTTCCGCTCTTCTGCAATGACTCCCTGTCAGTTTGCACTGATCTCACTCGTCTCTTTAGAACATCCTAGACATGCTCACATGGATTAAGGTCAGGGTTTGAGCTGGCCAGTGTAAATGACGGATCTCAATGCATGCAATCATGTATATTCCACCTCGCCAAAACGATGGGGGCGAAAATAGATGGGATAGAAATTTAGAGCAGTCAATGCGGGTGGTGCATGTGGAATTAGGACTTCTGTTATGTTCCGGTAGGTACCGGCATTTAATGTTCCATTTTCTACGAAAACTAACTGCGTACGCTTCGTCGAATTAGCCGCCGTAAGGAGTGATTTTTCCGAAACACACTTCCGCATAACGTACCCGTGATCTTTACAGCACTCGCCGACGTCAGTCCTCTCTACACAAAGAGATTGTAGCTTCATCAGAAAGCAATACTTTATTCTAGTCCTCCAGAGTCCATGAATCACAGTTTCGAGGAAACTGAAGTCCAACAACTCGGTGCTCGCGAAGTTATTTAGGCCCCGAGCCGGGCGATTACATCTGATAATAGCAGTCAATACCGTCTTCACCATAAGGGCACACGGGGCTCGTGCCCAGGGCCCCCATTCTCAGGGGCCCCCGAAGGACCGACAATTTCCCTCCCACATTCTCAAAACATTTTTGTCGGGCACATTACACTTTTTTCACAAATCAGTAATCTTATCAGAAGGCATATACTACGCCATTATATCGATAACTGCGCCTATTCCTACTGTACAACTTAATAAGGATATAATAGAAGAATCAACAGAAATCTCAAAAGAAACCGTTATCGTAATCGTAACCAAAAAACGAGCAGCATTCTAATATCATTAATGACATAATATATCATACTGTTTTGATGACCTTTAATAAATGGTCATACTTAGTAAAATTTTTTTATTATAATTAGCTATTTTTAACTTTCCAAAAGGGTCCGAAATTCTTGTGTGCCCAATTGCCCCAGCCTAGTTCAAGACGGCCCTGATTAGCAGCCACAGTGCACAAGCTAAATTCTACTCCTCTTACTTCTTCAAGGCTCTGCTTCATGTCTATACTTACGATTCCGCAACGCCTGACTCAAAGCGGTCATCTCTTGGTGTTGTACTTCCTTTTATTCCCGAACATGGCCTCTTGATACAGTTGCCAAGTCCTCTGGACAGTTTCTTGTTACCCGCTCTTCTTGTCAGTTCTTCTTGCCCGCTCTACGCCCTAGACTTGCGAACTGGCAGTAAATGTAAATTTACAATTAATTCTACTTCTTTTGTGACGTTCATGAGAGTACTTGTTTATCTATATGAATAAAGTTATTTTGAGCTTGAATTTGGGTTGATGACTCACAATAAGCCGCCGAGACATTAAGTTTTCATCAAATTATAGCCTTTGTTTTGTGAATTTTAGCGAGAGCAGGTCACGCTCGTTATTAGGTTTTTACATTTTTAAATTTATTTAATTTAAAAAAAATATTGTTTGGTGTACATCGATTTTAAGTAATTCATAAACTAACTCGATTTTAAATCATTCATAAAATTACTTCACGCGTATTCATTGAAACGATTATAAGCATTCAGACTACGTCAGACAATGAAATTGCATTGATTTTTTTTTAACGTTTACGAATAATGTATTTGTTTTCCACTATGTTAGTATCACTACTTTTGTTGTTAATGAAACTTTTAACCAAAAATATTAACGTGTAAAATAGTAAAACTCTTGTGTTGAAAGCCACTTAAAATAAGCGGTCATAACTATTTTAGGAATATTTCGGACTAGTCGTTGGTGCTTAATTAAAGCTTCCACGTTGTTAATTTAACGATCTCTCACTCAATAGTCACTAGTATTTGGACAACTCGCATGATCCCTTTAGCACGCTGTCAATTATAGCCCAATTTGCGAAATGTCAGCCATCAATATCTAACTTGTGATATATGGCTAACATCGATATGGAACTTTCGTTTGAACATTCCTGTCCCATTTTATAATTTACTGACCGTTAAGCCTTTTTTGACATTGGTACATGTAATTCAACATTCTTTGTATTTAACAGCATTATTTGTTTACTGAAAATATCTATATATAACAGAGGTCCTGTTAGTTACACTTTACAACTCGAGAACGGCTGAACCTTGGTAGGAAGGTAGCTTAGAACCACGAGACGGATATATATATATCCTGTTTACGTGGAACATGACTTAAAACGTGGTGTAACAAAACGCAACAAACAGATAATCTCAAAATGTATCAGTGAAAACATCAGTCCACTGACAGTAATGTTATCTATGGTTTAGTATGATTACAATTTTAAAATAAGAAGTTTTAAGTTGGTGTGTATCGAGTTTCTATGAGCTTATCGTGCCGATATTATCATTAACAATGCCAGGAACAAGACGATCGAATCTTTCCCGACAAAGCCGTAATGCATTAAATGGTTGGACCGATTTTGATGAGATTATTTACAATTAGATATTTCTTGTTTGTTTTTGTTAAAGTGTAAAACTTTGTATTTAAGATGTGTTTACAGGACAACGTCTGTCGGGTCCGCTAGTATTTCATGTAGTTAAATTTCTGTCAATTATAACTTACACCAAAGTATCATGTAAATTTTTCGACGCTGTAAGCAATATTGAAAATATGAAAATCATGCAAATTAAGCCCATTAAAGCACGATCACCAAAATTCCAATTAAATTCTCCATTTTCCAATCAGTTGACGCTTCAATAGGTTATCATGACAAAAATATACGAATATATTAAACTTTTACCTATTATTATTATCAGCAAGGCCAGATTTAAACACTATTAAATCTCACACGTATTGAAAACAACAAAAATATTCAACAATATACATAATAAGACAACTTTCTTCATTATTAATGATTGTAAAAGTCGGGTGTAGGAGCCGACCGAACCTAGATCCATTAGGGATATCTATAGTGGATCCTGGAAACCTTCCATATGCGGGCTAATTGGATTACACAAACTACAATTATTTTTAAAATACATTTAACAACAATTATTGATTTTTTTAGGTACGAGATGACATGCGAACTAACGGCGTAGAACCCGAGGAACATCCAGATTCACCCACCGACAACGGAAATTGTACCAGCAACGCTTTCTTCCAGGACTTCGTTTAATCGGCCTACGTTTATACTGTATACACCTTGATATCAACACAATATATGCATACACACAAAGGTTTCCTTCATATTTTAAAACTTCTTATTAAAATATTAGCCCGGTAGCAGTGAAGTTGCGTTTAAAATTTTTGATTTCTTTTGTTAAATTATATTAAAGCTCTACAAAGTTTGAGTTACATCCAATTACTTACGTTGGGTTTAATATTAAATTCAACCTAACATTGGCAGAGCAAGTTGGGCACTCGCGTATTATATTGTTAAGCGTTCAGCGAAAACGTAGCAGCATTTCGACAATTACAGGTTTAAAGGACCGGAGAATTACATCAACAAATAAATCTGTGGGTATTTGTCCGTAGTTTATATGATTCTTTTGAGAGATATTTCTCAGGTTTTACAAGGCACAAGCACTACCATATCCTACAAGATTGCGATTTTCGAACGTGAATCTTAAAAGGCACTCAGTGAACTCATAAACTAACTATAATCATATATACCTATATTCTGAAAAGATGGGAGCTTGTAGTTTATTGTTTATCAGAATGCCAAATCATAAAATGAGTGCTTCACGACTGATTTGAGAGCGACCGCCGATGCGAAAACCGCTGTGTGAGTTCGAAAAGTGAGTTACAGAATCGCAGGGCAGTACTACAGCTTATTAAGAAATTCTGTAAAATTAAATTTAAGAAATAAAAACACTTTTTTTTTCATCCTTAACTGTCATGTTTTAATAAAATCATTCAGATATGGTTGCTTTGTACAACAACTTTACGCATACCAACGGACAGTATCGCCCAGATAGAGAGATAGATTTGTCAAAATCACGGAACCTAGATAAAACGGTTTTCGTTTTTGTATAATTTCTATTTACACTGAATTTGTCTTTAAAAATATTTAGTACTTATAGATTATTTGGGTCATAAAATAATGACTTGGTATTATTGTCAAGCAGCGTTTTCGCAATCGCTGAATAAAGCGAGGACCGCCTAGTTAAAAAACTAATTATTATACTTTTTAATTAAAGTATTTGTCTCAGTATGATTGTACACCTATTCTTAAATTTTATCATACAATATAGGTGCGATTAATTGACAACGCTGCTACTTATTCGTGGCTATTTAATTTTAAATATCTTTGGAGCCACTTGAAATATAATTTTGATAAGTTTTAACTAGTAATTAAACTATAATTAATAGATGTAATCGATGTAGTAGTGCATGATAGAACCTCGCTGTGACTTACTTCCTATCCTTTCTGAAGTCTGTAACATACCCCTCTAACATGGATATAATACTTCATAAAAATAAATATAATCTCATTATAATAAAAATATGGCCTTAAAAAGATCACGACAATGTTACGAAGGGCCCAGACTTGACATACTAAGCTAGTGATTGATATGCCTCTTTATTTTTGAAACAGTTATATTACACCATTTTAACTGGAATAATGTTTCGTCTCTTCACAACAGCGGTGTTCTAAATATCAATGTTACAAGTAGTTAAATAATGTTTTGTTCCGACAGCGAAATTAATGAAATATTCGATAATGATTTTGAGGGATTTACGTTTGTGAATGCAACATGCATAAACGAGCTATTCTATTATAATTGTATTAATAATAAATGGGCAATTGATTGTTTATGAGAAATACAACTAAAGTGTTAATTAACTTATATGTTAATTAACCGGTTAATATGTTGATAATGATCTATTATATCCGTGGTGTCCCACTATCTTATGTCCGGAAATGGCTTCGAAATAATTGATCAAAATGCATGAAACAAGCTCTAATGTTGTAAGAATAATATATTTTTAAATAAGGAATTATATAAAAAATTTAATACTTTTGACTTTTCGAAATCAAAGTAACTTTTTACTAGGAGTTTAAAGGAGGGTTTTAATATGCATAAGAGAGAGTTTAGTAAGTTATTAAAAATATTATCTATAATAATAGTAATTCTTTAGTTTTATATTCTGTGAATAATTAATATATATTTATCGATTGAAGGGTAATTTGACTCTAAAGTCAAATGTATGCGTCACATACGATACATACATACAATAATCCTAACACTGAAAGCTTGGAACAAACAGATCATGGATTCATCGATGAGTGAAATTTACAATTAGGCAGGTTGAAACTGAAAATGGGATATCGAATAATATGACATCTCCCCTAGGGTGTATCAACAATTTTCCGAAGCAATTGTCGCTTCTCACAAACAAATGTATTTTAAAATTGTAACACCTGATCGTGAAAATCATGTGAAAACGTCGGAAGAATGGAAATCACCTAATAATGAAGTTAAATTTGAATTTTGAATAATACCGATTGAAAATAAATAATTTTTCGTTCCGAGGACCCTTGTGAAAATAAAATAAACTTAAATGTAAGTATAAGCCCTTCTTCGTTAAGTGAATATAGTTTACTTTAGTTCTCTCTTGTTAAAAGCGAACAGCTATTTAATTGCAGATACTCTTAAGTTTCTTCTGTTAATTACGAAACTCTCTCTTTGCATATATTTATTATATCGGTGAGATTAGATAGCGAACAATTTTTAAACAATGTTAAAATGCAATTGTTTAATTTTTATACTTTTATAAAAACGTTTTATGAATTCATAATATGTAAATAAAAATAAAATTTGAGAGAATGCCATTTCGGACGCTATAAATGTGATCCTTTATACTCTTCGTGGTAAAACATATATTATTACATAGTAGTAAGTGTCGTTCTCTAACCGTTTGATATTTTGTGATTTAGTTTGGACTCATCCATAGGAATTCTTATCTATTTTTAGATTCCACTTTCAATATCAATATCGTCGACAAAATTATACTATATTCTCTAATATGAAATTCCACCATATAGCTGAAACATTTATTACACTAAAATATAGCAAATTCCCTGGATCATGCCACTGGTTAATATATGTAGTAGAGAGATATAGATTTTATGTAGGTATGAATCTTTAACCTTAATTTCAAACACCTCGCGTAGGTTTTTCTCAGCACAACATTTATCATGAACGTTTCAGTTCGACGTGAGAAGCGTTTAATTCCAATTACTAATCAATAATCATATTAAATTAAGAACTCCTATTTGTTTATGTTTCGTGCCAAGAGCATAGATTACATTTTCTTCAACGAAAATCGTCATTTTTTTAACCTGGAGTTTCATATTCATGGATATAGATTTGTATCTCTTTTTTAAATTATATAACAAGAAATCTGTCAAAATTTCTGTCGACTGAACTTTTCGATCTTTTATTACCTCGAATGTAGCTGTTATTTTGTTATTAATTTATTCTTGTAAAATTGTATTACACAAACGCATATAATCTTAACACGTTCACTGCGTAACAGGCCGATATCGGCCTGCCGCGGTATTTCAGCTGGTGCGGACGAAGAAATCTATGTCCCTCTCGCTGGTGCGTAACGATTTTCTCAGGTGTTTGTAAAAATTCGAATGGGACAAATATATATTTCATCTTGCGGTCAAAATTGTAGGTGTTCCCCATCAAAACATAACGGCAGGCTTTTATCGACCTACCACGCACTGACGCTGCTGTGCATCCACTGAGAGTTAATCTATCTTAGTGCTGTTGGGTCTAGAAAGACCTGCCACGCACTGGCGGAAATATCATTGGGGGCGCATTTTGGCCCGCCGCCGCACCTGATGAAGAATTGTGATTTTACTTGCCGCAGTGAACGTGTTAGACATATATATTAATAATCCTTAAAAGGATGGTAGTATTCAAATTAATCGGACAGTATTTCGTATAAATCATAAGATAACTAACTAAATTGTTGGAACTTCGACTGTACCGTTAGTATATTATGGCATTTCATTGAAGGCCTACGTCCCACCCGTAATCAATGATCTATAATCCAGATGTTTTTTTTGGATAAAAGCAATAACCGAACGACAAGTATTGTGTTAAATTTATCAATATCCAGGCCTGGTATATTGATAAATTGTTAAACTAATCAAATAGTTGATTACATCCAATTAAAATTATCTTTTATGGGTCAAAATTACTGAGCTTAACTTAAAATTACATCATAAATTAAATTCCCCTTTTTTATTTGCGCTAAATCTAACTAAAATTATGGTGTCATTCAGTGTACATTAATTAGTTTATAGTTTGTTATTTTAGAGGCAGCTTTTGATTAAAAAATCTAATAAATATAATCGCGTTCTAAATGGAACAAAGCCTGGATCTTTTATCAAAATTTAAATTTCGTGTTCCCTCTAAATACCCCAGGCCATCCATTCTATTCCATCATGCCATTTTTCTTTCCAAAGACGAGTTTTGGTCAAAGCTCACCGATGTCGAGATTGAGAATTCTGATAAACGTCTTGATATTCATAGTTGCTCCCCTCACACTTTAAAATCGGTTTTCGTTTAGTTTTTGTTTAATTTTAATTGTTTTGATTAATATTTGTATTTACTCTTCGAGTACATCATGTTTGCCTACAAGTGTTTGTCTCATTAAAAATTAGACTAGCTTTTATCATTAAAAAAACAAAAGAAACTATATGCAATACCTTTTAATTTCAAAACACTATTTAAAGGTTCACGTCGCGCAATAAACTACTATTTGGAAAACTAACAGCGTTTATTTATATAATTATGCTATTATTATGCAAAAAAACTTGTTAAACCGGCTTTATGCTCGCACATAATTTTAAATATTACAATATTCTCAAAGGCCCTTAACTCTTGGTCAAAAGCTTATTATAATTGGTCTAAACAGTGTAAAACAACAATGGAATAAATATAAGACACAAAGCTAATTGGGTATATAGAAAGAATAATGTACAGTTGGAATTTACGCGAACACAACTCGATTCTTATAAAATTTTCCGACTATGAGCTTTATTATATGCGTTTGTGTTCAAATTTGTCTGGCGCGTATGAGGCCTAGTGGTGGTTCCTGTACGCTCCATACAATATTTTTCTAAACTGTTTTATTAACCCACAAATATAACTA